GTTCTTGAAGAGGCGATTGTATTCGATGTTTCGTGTTTCGCTGAAAATCGTAAAACACCAAAAAGCATAGGCTTGCAATAAAAAGTTGTCCACCGAGAAGGTATAAAATGAACACGATTTGTTCAATGTTCAATCGAACTCATGTTTCCTCTATTTCTTTGTTTCGCGGGATACGCGCTTGCTCAGATGAATCCCAGAAAGCTGGGATGCGAGAGAATGGTAACAAATTATGCGTTGTACGTATTAAAATGCGAGTGCTTCTACAGTATGGCGAGTACGGTAACATGAACACCGTGTTCCTCAATGCAATGCAACCCGGCGATCGGTTCATTGTCGACGGAACCGTTTCTACGAGCCCTGGAACGTAAAGCAGTTTATTTGAAAGATTCAATGAGTCCGAGTTCAGAATAAGCATCAACTTGGCTATTATCAACGTCACAAACGACATTGCAATCCATTTCCGAAATGATATCAACACGAGGCCCACCACCATTTACGACGCGTTCATCAACGGAAGATGGACGGGTCAGGAGTTCGCTCCGCAGCCGTTCCGGGCTGGACAGCCCTATAATGTCGCTTTCGTGTAAGTGCGCTCATCGAATTTACTCTCCCCAATATTCGTGACTTCCAGATACGCCGGCCTCACGGTCGATGTGATCTTCAACCAGATTCCCATCTACACGTTCCGTCTCAGAACTCCCAGTTGGTACCCGATCGGCGTGGCCCACGTGTCCGGCAGCCACACGACCAATTACATCGAGCTGCAGTGCAAGAACCCGCCGACGAGTGCACCGCCTATGAGAGGAAATCATGGTCATGGTCATGGTCATGGACACGGCAAAGATTCCTCTTCGGACAGCAGTGAGGAGTGCGAAGATTGATTGTGAGAACAATAAACTTGTGTATTGGTTTCGATTCCACCCATTACAAATGTAACTTGGTACTTGTTCTGAGCAATTGTCATATGAGTTTGAAGATTTGTAAACACAACTAATGTGACCCCAGTTAGCATCCATTCCCACAATACTTTCCAATATCATCAATTCCCCGTTATCAACATGAGATAGATATTCGGAATCTTCGTTTGCGGTCTCCTCGCCGGACAAACTGTGAGCCAAGAGACTTCGACAATAAGGTATGGATCCAATGATGTTGCACATGTGCTTTATAACTCTGTTTTCAGCGCCCGTGTCCGGGCAACAAGTAAGCTGCTTCTACATGCCCGATGATTTCGTCACATCGGGAGTAGCTTATTTGGCATAGTACACCGTCTCACGCAGGTCAGAGGTAGTGTCTGAATACTCTCTGCGACCGGGCGGCTCCAACCTTGGCTTAGCAGGTCATAATGGAGTAAAAAGAGACACAACACTGCTCTAAACAGCAACACCACCAGCCTCAGTCCTCCGCACTCGGCCACTGCTTCTGCTCAGGCAGATCCAGAAGCAAGTCGAGAGAGGCGATCCAATCTCGGAGTACCCTCAGTCTGCCATTCGGTACGGAGCAAGATCACCCGGCCTAAAACAAGAAGAACCGATCTGCGAGTCTGCACCTTCAACTGCAGGTCAGTAGCCACTGACAGCCGACTCATGGAGCTTCTCGTTGAGACAAATCGGATCAAGTACGATGTCATCGGACTTTCCGAAACAAAACGAGAAACCGAAGTCTTCCGTGTCAGGAGGTGTCGGCTTCATAGTCTCGAGCCACCTGCTCCCAAAAGTCACTGAGATCAAGTTCATCAACCACCGGATCGGCTCCCTTACTCTCAAAGTAGGGAAACGATTCAGCTGCACAATCTTCCAGGTGTACGCACCAGTAGCTGATTCGGATCCAGAAGAACTTGCCGACTTCTATGACTGCATTGAAGACGCCTACTTGTCCTGCCGCAGCAAGTACAAGCTCATCATCGGCGACTTTAATGCGCGAATGGGCGCAAGAAAACACACGGAGCGGTTCATTGGCACGAACGCAATGGAACCGCGAAACGAAAGTGGCGAACTCTTAGCTACCTTTTGTGAATCGAATCGTCTGTGGCACATGAACTCACAATTCAAAAAGCCGCTCAACAGACGATGGACACTACTCGACAACTTCTAGAAAAACGGAGATTTATGGACAGATCAGACGCCAACTTCAAGTCGCTGTCAATAAAATGCCGAGAAAAGGTCGAGAAAGACCACGAAGAGTTCGCCAGTTCCCGCTTTCTGAGCGCCGCTAATCAAGGGAGAAGCCTGAAAAGGGTGGCAAGGGACATTCAAGAATACAAGTCCTTCATCCCCTGCCTCAAATCTCCGACGACCGGCGGAAGAAACACTTCAAGGACAAAGATGGAGCAGGAGATCCAACAGTTCTACCGGAAACTATTCAGTAGTCAACGGCCTCCTCCCGTACTCACAGTACCCATCACAACAGAAACACCACCACCGTTTCTCCTCGAAGAAGTCCGTGCTGCTATCCACTCATTTCCGAGCGGGAAAGCAGCGGGTGATGACAAAATCACGGCAGACCTTCTCAAAAGCTGCCACGATAATGTTATCTCCCTCATAACGGTGAGATTCTCAGAATACCTCAGAAGCGGAAGAGTTCCAAAACAATGGAAAACGTCTAACACCACCCTGATCTTCAAAAAAGGAGACAGGGAAAATTTGGAGAACTACAGGCCGATCTGCCTCCTCCCCGTCCTATATAAAGCATTCTCTAAATGTGTGCCTCCGAAGGCAAGCGATAGATCCGGCCTACATCAACCTACTCAAAGAGTGCTATACCAACTGCAGCACAGCATTCACACCCTTCCACCGACCTGTGACGGTCCCAATCACGAGAGGAGTGCGGCAAGGCGATCCTATCTCGCCAAACTTGTTCTCGGCCTGCCTAGAACTAGTCTTCAGCCAAATGTCCTGGAACCATCTGAAAGGGCACGACGAGGACCACGCGACAAACCCTGGAATCAGAATCAACGGCAGAAATCTAACGCATCTAAGATTTGCAGATGATATTGTCCTAGCGGCAAATCATCCAAATACTGCCAGAGAGATGATCCAGGACCTAGTGGAAAGGTGTGCAAAAGTAGGTCTCCAAATCAATACTAACAAAACCAAAGTGTTGCGAAACACATTTGCCACCGACCATCCGGTCTGCATCAAAATTGGCGCAACCACCACCACCGCCATCGACGATGTCAACGAGTACATCTACTTAGGTAGACTACTCAACACACGGAACGAATTGGAGCCGGAGCTCCATAGAAGACGACGAGCAGCGTGGGCGGCATTTAACGGAATCAAGAACACCACGGATGCCCTCACCTGCCCCAAAATCCGTGCCAGACTCTTCGACTCGATCGTCCTCCCGGCGCTCGCCTACGGCTCTGAAACGTGGACCTTTACGAAGGCACTGGCTGAAAGAGTGCTAGTAACCCACGCGTCATTGGAAAGGAGACTCGTCGGGCTGTCGCTCTCCCAGCAAAGAGAGAGAGAAATCTCCATCGAAAAGACATCCGACGCCTATCCGGCGTCCGCGACCCTCTACTCCACATCAAAAAGAGGAAGTTAGGCTGGGCCGGACACGTGGCACGAAGGACAGACAACCAGTGGACTACTCTGACGCAAGAATGGATCCCAAGAGACACAAAGCGACCGGTCGGCAGACCGCCGATGAGATGGATCTACGCCCTCAACAAAGAAGTCACCATCCGACAAGGAAACCGAGTGGTACCATGGAGCACCATTGCCAAAGATCGGAAGGCGTGGTGTGCTGTGATCCGCGCCCACACAACGTGAGCGAGGAACGAATCGACTAAGTAACTAAGTAAGTAACAGCTCTTCATGTATACGTTTTGGTTGGAACGTATTTCAGTGCTGGGTGAGCTGGGTGTCAAACGAATTCCTGGCGCGAACAAATGTGACGGACAGCACATTGGCCTCGTGTTCTTGAAGAGGCGATTGTATTCGATGTTTCGTGTTTCGCTGAAAATCGTAAAACACCAAAAAGCATAGGCTTGCAATAAAAAGTTGTCCACCGAGAAGGTATAAAATGAACACGTTTTGCTCAATGTTCAATCAAACTCATGTTTCCTCTATTCCTTTGTTTCGCGGGATACGCGCTTGCTCAGATGAATCCCAGAAAGCTGGGATGCGAGAGAATGGTAACAAATTATGCGTTGTACGTATTAAAATGCGAGTGCTTCTACAGTATGGCGAGTACGGTAACATGGACACCGTGTTCCTCAATGCTTTGCAACCCGGCGATCGGTTCATTGTCGACGGAGTCGTTTCTACGAGCCCTGGAATGTAAGGCAGTTTATTCGAAAGATTCAATGAGTCCGAGTTCAGAATAAGCATCAACTTGGTTATTATCAACGTCACCAACGACATTGCAATCCATTTCCGAAATGATATCAACACGAGGCCCACCACCATTTACGACGCGTTCATCAACGGAAGATGGACGGGTCAGGAGTTCGCTCCGCAGCCGTTCCGGGCTGGACAGCCCTATAACCTCGCTTTCGTGTAAGTGTGCTCATCGATTTTACTCTCCCAAATATTCGTGACTTCCAGATACACCGGCCTCATTTTCGATGTGTTCTTCAACCAGATTCGCATCTACTCGTTCCGTCTCAGAACTCCCAGTTGGTACCCGATCGGCGTGGCCCACGTGTCCGGCAGCCACAGGACCAATTACATCGAGCTGCAGTGCAAGAACCCGCCGACGAGTGCACCGCCTATGAGAGGAGATCATGGTCATGGTCATGGTCATGGACACGGCAAAGATTCCTCTTCGGACAGCAGTGAGGAGTGCGAAGATTGATTGTGAGGACAATAAAAACTTGTGTATTGGTTTCGATTCCACCCATTACAAATGTAGCTTGGTACTTGTTCTGAGCAATTGTCATATGAGTTTGAAGATTTGTAAACACAACTAATGTGACCCCAGTTAGCATCCATTCCCACAATACTTTCCAATATCATCAATCCCCCGTTTTCAACATGAGATTGATATTCGGAATCTTCGTTTGCGCTCTCCTCGCCGGATAAACTGTGAGCCAAGAGACTTCGACAATAAGGTATGGATCCAATGAGATGTGCGTTATAACTCTGTTTTCAGCGCCCGTCCCCTGAACATGTCCGACTATGATTTTCATAAACACCTCCGCATATTTGTCAAGGAGCTGAATGCGTTCCGGGCCGATCACGCGAGAAGGGAAAACATTTCGAACATGCACAAATTGGTGATGACTCCCTTGAACTTTAATCGTTTCATTCCCCCGTTTTTGCACTGCAGATTATTGATGACAAACTCAGCGCAGCGGCACGCTACTCAATCGAAAACCATGACGATACCGCCAGTCAGAGATACGATAACGTTGAGAAATCCAACAGCTTGAACCCTATGAACACTTCCGAATTGTTCATCGGAAGCGCAAGTTTTAGACATCAGTTCGCGACAGATTTTCGGTATCCGTTTACCGAACCGAAAAAAACGAGAAGGCTAAGACGGTAGGAGGAAGGTGCGGAAACGATTTCTCTGCAATTTGAGTCCCGAGTGAGCAGCTAGGCAACGTTTCAAACGATTATAATAGCACTTGTTTTGTAGAAAATTATGGTCGAACGAAGAAATGTACGGGAAGCCCGGATCGGCGTGCGACGGATTGAAGTTGGAGGACGAAGGCATTCATGACGATTTCCATGAATCATTATGTTGTTTTTAATCACGACATGTTTTGACTGGGCACAATATAAAAAGGCCTGGCATCTATTTCCGGATCAGTCCAAGTTGGAGTGAGAATGATCACAAAGACCCTGATATTTTGGACTCTTTTGCTCGTCGGTGAGTCTGTTACATACTTGTGCTATAGCGTAAAACAAGAAAAGTGTTTAAGGATGTCAGGCTGGCAGGAAGTTGATAAACTTCGAAAACTGGCAACACAAGTATCACGATCAGCTGGAACTTCGCATTCAAAAGTGTACTATCGATTGGGAAACGGACGAATTGATTGCTTTCCTCAACTTTAATCGTTTCCTCTTTTGCTCTGAGAACTTTCTGGAGTGCAACGCCCTGGTAAGCAAGAAGAAGAAGAAGGCCACCTAAAGTTTCATTTCAGGTCTATGACAATGCTCTGGAAGAAAAAGCTGTAGAAATGGCATTGGACATATGTGATCAAGCTGCGAAGGAAATAGGTGGGTTGACAAAACGTTCCCTAACAATATTATCGATTAAGGTTTCGACCCAGCATCAGACTACCGAGTATGGTACAGTAAACAAAGAATGATCAGGTTTTGGCTTAAGTTATATTTACTTTCGATATTATGAAGTTACAGCCTGGATACTGACGCTCTGATCAACAGGACACTGAGCGAAGGCGACAATCTGGGCGACTTGGAACTGCTGTTTCCGACTCGTGAACAATTCGGTTGTGCGACGTCATCGTGTCAAACGCACATTTGTCTCATCTCTCCCGGCAACACGTGGACGTTCTCGGATCTGAAATTCACGAATGTGACCCCGAAAAGTGCTGATAACACCAACCGAATCGCTTGGGTCCTCATTATCACTTCTCTTGCTGTTTGCAGATGGATCTGAACGAATAAAGCATCAAATACTCATTGATAAAGCACCGGGAAACCAGGAAAATAAGGCCAAAAGGTCTTAGTTTCCTGGTCACCGTGTATTATCGATTGAATACTAAGATTTCCGCTCTCACGATTCTGTACTAATGCCCTTGCTTTGGTCATGCAATATTATCGTCTTCTCCAAGTAAATAACAGTTTCTCCCCTCCCCACCCCTATTTACATTCGTCTTTTGTGAGCGTTTGTGTGTGTATTCGAGTCGAAAACCGTGAATATACATACATTCATACATCGTACTCGAAAAAGCCAATCTGAACTCTGATCTGCTCACTCATTTTTCCGTGGTTTTGAACCGTTTCTCAACTGCCATCACAAAATTTGTGAAACATATGATATTTTGCTCGACGATTGTACCAAACATTGCCCTGATAACAGTGTAACTCTTTGTACCAGCGCCGCGCTTGTGAGTCAACAAAATGGCGCACCCCTTCCGATATCATTCATTCACTTTTCCTGGTTCTGACTCAACGCTTTTCCCGCTCTTCCGCTCTTCCGCTCTTCGGCTCGTTTTTAATCAAAACTTCTGATTTCCGGCGGGTAAACGGTCAAATTAGTGCTCGCAGAGCCCCGCCCGCGCATACAAAATGACGAATGTTCCGAAAAGCCGAAAAGTTGACACAAAACAGTCACATTTCGTGCTCATGCACCCGCTTTCTCATACAATTCTGCCGGCCAACGGAGGTATGCGCCTTTAAAGTTACAGTAATCAAAGGCGCCTCTATGAATTTTTTGTTTGGCATTGAGTGTGCGCCTTTAAACCTACAGTAGCCCGTCCAGAAAATTGGCTATTTTCTTCGCGTTTTCTCTCTCGAATATATCTAGAATTCGTACGGATGATCTGTTCAGATATGTGTATAATACTCGAAACCATTCATATCTACGTTCTTTCTTTTGCCTGCTTGTGTTCCGTCGCCGCCGGCGCCCACTTTTTCCGGTCCTTTTTCTCACTGTGTCTCCAGTTTTCCGCGCATTTTCTCACAGAGAGAGAGAGAGAGAGAGAGAGAGAGAGAGTGAGAAATCTGATGAATCGACAATATCTGTGTGAAAAGCGAGATAATTTACTGCCTCATTTACACACAAATTGTCTAGTTTTCATTGAGCGTTTCTCGGGCGAAAAGCGATATTCGGTATGATGATAGGGGCGCATTATCCGCAAACACCTAGGCACCGAATTTTACGACAAATTGCAGAAAAAGTTTAGAAATTCGGCCATTCTTGTTTGTTCTGCCATAAAACGCAGAGTGACTCAATACTGTTTTGTGGTTGGGAGAAATGGACAAAAAAAAAATGTTTGATATTTGTTTTTGGTGGTGTGTATCATCTGACTCAATACTTTGAACGTCTTTTCATTCTTCCCATTCTCTTCCCCTCACTTTCTGCTAAAAATTTGCTCGTTTTTCAGCCAAAAATGGGTCATAGTCAATCGTACGACTTGCGGAATCCGGAACCCGCGGTGAAGGGCCAGGATACGGTACGCGGGGTGCGCAGAGTTTCCAAGGAGCACCAGACGGACACGCAATACGTAAGTACCGTAATCTTCGGCACATTCAGTGGTGATCCACGTACAACGCGTATGATTCATCAATTACAGGCAGTGGATGGCATCGAAACTTTTGACTATCGTGAGGAGGAGCTCCGCGATCGAATCCGACGGGAACAGTTGAGAAAACGGGAAGAGGAGCTCGAATCGTTGAGGATCCGACACCACGAAACCCGTGAGGTAGGGTAAAATTGAAAAATTTGGGCTAGGACTCGAACCGGGCAATTTTATAGTGACCGGCTGAGACACCGTTTATTCCAGACGCTATATCTCAGCTGCCAGTAAAAATATAAAAACATTGTCAACAGATGAAATGCTCAGAAGGTCTCTATGCACATTTTATCTGTTGACAAGTTTTTGATATCTTTACTGGCAGCTGAGATATATCGTCTGGAATAAACGATGTCTGGGAGCGGTAGTTCAACTGGATAGGCACATGGATCCAGAGGTTACAAGTTAATTTTGTTTTCAGCCGATAATCGATGCGTACCGTCAAACTTCGACTCAACCGGCGAGCTACTCCGAGTTCAACTATTATGATTCTCTGAAACATCCGCATCCCGTGGACCCGACCACCTATTTCTCTCTGAAACCGAGAAGAGAAGTGAATGACGGGCGGATGTACCCGTTGCCAGTCAGGTCGATGACGGTGGTGCCAGCGGATCCGGCTCCTGCTCCAACCAGGGACTATCCTGGACGGTCCCCAATGTTCTCCGGCCGTCTGTCCCCTCTGCCACGTCATCCTGAAGTCGAACCCCATCCGATTCCACGTTATGTTCCGGCGATGAGCGTTCCGAGATACGAAGATGTTCCAATTGCGTCGGAAAGACAAGGACCCTTACCGACCGGAACCTACTCGAAGACTACCATGGTTTCTACGTCAACCACCTACAAGTACGCCCCTAGGACCCCCGCAAGATACGACGAAGTGCCGATTGTGAGCCACTCTGGGACCAGCACCTATTCGAAAGCCGCAAAAGTTCCGAGATATGACGAGGTGCCGGTGGAAGTGACCCATTTCATTCCGATCTCGGTGGTCCCTAAAGAACCGAAGCATCTGGAGCAAGTTCCTCTGGAGATGGAAGTTCCTTTGGTCCCTCTGGATCGACATGTTGTGCTCCGAGAGCATCCGAGATATGCGCCGAAAGAAAAGGAGAAGGAGGTGACCCCAGTCTACCGTAATGTGCCTGTCAAGATCTCTGCGGCTCCTGCTCCGGCTCCACTTCCAGTTGAATCTCTTCATAAACAACCAGAAGTCCCCAGGACCCCTCTGGATCAGTATGTCCGTCAGGAACCGGTCTACCGTACCCCTCAAAATGCTGCTCCTGTGTTCCGTGATGTTCCTGTCAGTTCTTCTCCAGTGGAGCCCCCAGTCGAACCTCCAACTCCTCTCCACAAACAACGAGAAGTGTCTAGGACCCCGCTGGGACACTATATTCAAGAGGAACCCGTCTACCGTACCCCCACTCCTCAAAGTGCTGCTACTCCTCCCGTCTACCGTACTATGACACCAACTGCCGTAACGCCGAGACACCAGGAAGTCCGTATGACCCCTCTGGGCAACTACATCATCCCGCAGCATCCGGAAAGCCCCACTCCCACCCATACCTCGGAGATTCACGCCGAGAAACCGATGATAGTTGGGTTGGAGGAGCCGGAACCGAAAAACCAGCACGTCACCTATGTTACCGTAGCCACCGATCCTGAATTCCCGGCCTCGCCGAAGCCCCAGACCCATCAAATCATCCTCCTGGAGCGTCTTCATCGTCAACCGGAAGTTGGTAAGCATCCGGTTCACTCGAGGCCCAGCCAGAGCAGCTATGAGCATCAAGCACCGATTAGAAAGCAGTTCGTACCTTCTCCGTCTCCGGCTCCACCTCAAACCCGCTTCTACATCAACCAGGAGACACAGTACTCGCGAAGACCCTCGGAAGACCTCCACGCTCGAAACATTCTGGAGCCGCAGAAAAAGTGTGAAGTGGAGCACTGTACCCACGTGGAAGTGCACGGTACTCCGCTCATTGCGAAGAGACGTGTCAGCCAGGATACCTGGGAAAAGGTGGGTTACATGCCTAGCAAAAAATGTATCCGTCACTATCATTGTTTAGGAAAACCGTTTGACAATCTTTGTCAACGAGCCAGAGCTGGAGAACGTGATCGATTTGGCGCGAGATGAGGACGTCGGACCGGTCACTTCACAGTCCAGACGATGCTTCGAAGAGGTCAGAATCCTAGGCCATTAAACCTTTATCGATAACTTTTTGCAGAAGCTCTACTACAACGGTTACATGCCCACCTTGTCACTCTCTCGCCGTCCTATCGTCAGTTTCTACGATAAACTTCACTAAATTATGTTCTCTATAATTTATGGTTCTGTATTATTGTTTCATTACTTTCAATAAACCATAATTTGAAAAAAAGACGTTTGTAACGGCTGCTCTATTCTAAAATGCTAAGTTCTCAAGTAGCAAGCCAATTTGTAAACAGTATCAATGCTCGGTATGCGCAATGGTCTTCTTGACGCACTTTTCCTTCTTCTCGGGTTTCGGAAACTGTCCCCAGCACTCGACGACCTTCTTGTCGCATTGACAAAGTGCCGCCGGACATCCTTGCGCGTTGTCTGGAATGTGTGAGCGGTGGAAAACGTGGAAAAGATATGATGGTTGACAAACTTACGAGCGCAGGTGATAGTTGAGTTATCACACCTCCAAGTGTAGTCCGTTATGTAGATGGTCATGCTTCCGCACAGCTGAAAAGCAAGCTCATGGTGTGTCGACCGGGAAAAGCCGTACCCCAGAGCTCACAGCGTCTCCATAACAGTTGTCATGCACCATACAACACTCATCGATTCCATCCACTGGCACTCCAGATCCGCCCAGGCCACAATAGCAGCCGTAGCCGTTGTAAATCTGAAAATTTGACTATTATCTAGTTAAACTCAAGTCCCGACCAAGCCACTGTAATGCAAAACACAATCGATGGTGGACTTGAAGTTCCAGACGGCTTCCGGAGTATCTTTGTCGCTTTCAGGTGGAACGTTTCGGACCACTGAATGTTCTGGAATGTCAGAAGATGCCAAAGAAATGCAGAGGAATAGTAGAAGTTTCATATTTTTGCGATGCAACTGATTTCTTTTTGGTTTTCTCACTATCAGTCAACAAGAACAGTATCTGAGTGACCTTGCCGATGAAGTTTGGTCTCACATACAAATATCTCATTCACTTAACACACACGTGATCATTTAGACGAGTTCACTAGTTGTGGAAAGGGTGGTCGACGTGGGAACGACGCACGACTTCTTCTCCTCCGGTTGTGGATACTTTTTCCAGCATTCCGCTATTTTTCGGTCGCATTCACAAATGAAGACGCCGCAAGCAGTGTTGAAATCTGTATTTTTCGAATGATATCGGCACACGACGTGGCTTTTACCGGAACAGGAGGCGGTGGAGTTGTCGCCGCAGTGCCAGACGTAGGGCATCAAGTAAACACCAAAGAGCGAGCAAATCTGGAGAGAAACAAGCTTTTGAGAATTGTTAACTTCTTTAAAAAGTAATCGTTATCAATCTAGCCAGTCAATCCGCGTTTCTAATCAAGTAAACATACATTTTGGTCCAACGCTTGTCCATAGCACTCATCATGCTCCTTACAACACTCATCAATGTCATCCACAGGCACTCCAGATCCACCGAGTCCACAATAGCAGCCGTAATTGTTGTAGTACCACTGTAAACATTGTTTTTTTTTTAAAGAAACATGTTCTATGACACTAACCAAAGCGCTCCTGCCTACCATACAAGCAGTTATAGAGTTCAGGTTATATGGATTTTTACTCTTTATGTGAGCAAGTGGAGCACTGCCGATGCTTTCGGCGGTGAGCAGAATGAGGAGCGGAACGACTGGCCACTTCATCGTCTCGTACTGGATTCTTCTAGACGTTTCTGAAAACTGGGGACAGGAATTGGAGAACTAGGGTGTTAGGACAGTTGCAACGTAAATATACGTGTTTCACGCATTCGAAAACGCTACCGACAATATGAAAACAATTAAAAAAAAATTTTACTTTCACAAACATCAACTGGGACAGCGCAATCTTCGCTCTGGTTTCGCAAATTTCTTCCAGCACTTGACCAATTTCAGATCGCATTCGCACAGCAAAGTATGGCATCGGTCGTTGGTGTCTGAATGTAAATTGTAACGTTTTAACACTAAATTTATAAGACCTTGACAGCTGGAAGTCGAATTTTCGCATCCCCAATCGTAGGCTTCCCATTTCGCAGAGATCCCTGTGCAGTTCTGTAAGTGTGAAGGTGCGCTTTGATGCAAATTTGGTTCAAAACAAAAGTTTTACCTTATTTCTCTCAAAAGTGTCGTAGCACTCATCGTGATCCTTACAACACTCATCGATTCCATCCACAGGCTTGCCAGATCCTCCGAATCCACAAAAACAGCCGTAACGATTGTAGACCTTGTAGAACAAAAAAATATTTTCTGGAAATAAATATTGCCGACTTACAAGAGCGCTGTACCCGAGAGTACACGTGGTTTGTCCGTTTAGATTGAACACCGACGCTTTCTTCATTCTGGAGCTTGAATCTGCTGAAGCGGATAGAATCGGAAGGAGAACGATGAAGAGGAAGAAGAACTTCATGTTGTTTTCAATAAAAAAAATAATTTAAAAAACTCCATAACCTTGCTGAACGTTAAGTGTTCACGTTTTTATGTAAAAATTTGAAATCCTCGTCGAAAACGACACAAAAAGACACTTTTTTGAGGCGATTTGGCCGCCGACGACGCTTTGGAGTGTCGTAACGTCGCCCGGTTTAGCAGAAAGCGGCATTTTCAAAATTTGCCAAAAAATTCGTTAAAGATCAAAGGAGAACAAAAGTAAAAAAAAGCTTAAAAACACAAAAAGAAGTAAAAGTGACTATTTTACAAATTTGAGAATACATTTTCGGAATCCATACCACATTTTTTTTGCTTCCTTACAGCAAAATTCCTTTAGTTTTCGGAAATGTAGTGAAAAAATGGATTTTGCTGTAAGGAAGCAAAAAAAAAGTGATATGGATTCCGAAAATGTATTCTCGAATTTGTAAAATAGTCACTTTTACTTCTTTTTGTGTTTTTAAGCTTTTTTTTTACATTTGTTCTCTTCTGATCTTCAACGAATTCTCTTCTGCTAAACCGGGAGACATTACGACACTCCAAAGGTCGGCGATTAGTCGCCGGCGGCCATTGAGCCGAAAAAGTGCTAGAGTTTTAAAATTGAAGGGCTTTATTGCTAAAAACGAGAGGAAAGGTAGGTTATTTCTTGATACACTTGGCCCTCTTTTCTGGTTTCGGGAATCTCTGCCAGCAATCCACGACCTTCTTGTCACACTCGCAAAGGAAAGCGGCACACGCGTCGGCGGTGGCTGTAAATGTACGGATTTGGGTGTCGAAGGGAAAACTGAACGAGTTTAAAGCTTACATGGACAAAGAGCGGTGGAGTTTGAGCATTCCCAGCCGTAGTTCTTCACGTAAGGCGACCACGATCCACAGATCTGACAAAAAAGGACGAAAACCTGTTAGCGACTATTGTAGCCTACCTTGTTTTCCACAGAATCCCCATAGCACTCATCATGTTCTTTACAACACTGATCGATCCCATCTACTGGCACTCCAGACCCTCCGTATCCACAATAACATCCATAGCGGTTGTAGTTGAACTGAAAATTGACAGTTTTCTGGAAATTTCTGAAGATTGGGACCCACCAGAGCACTATAATTGAGCACACATTGAGCCATTCCTCTGAGATTCCACAGGGAGGCCGGGGGGATTACTGTAGCATCGGCTCCTTCTTCTTCTTCTTGTTGAGCCGAGCAGAAAGTGAGTCCGATGGAGACGAGGAGAAGGATCTTCATGGTCGACCGATGAGGGACCCGAGCCCACTGACTCTTTTTATACTCGAGAGTTTCTGACCGTTTCCCCCTACAAACCGACCTTGGAACGTCATCTTTTTCTCTTCTTCTCTTGCCTCTCTTACTGACAAACAACTTTTGAGACAGTTTTCGTTGATAAGGACGTCTACGGTAGTGTTCTGGGTACAATTTGTTGTTGGCACGTAGAAGACGATCAAACCACACGACGGAAATGATCTCTATCATTTGGCACGGCTTTGATGCAATAAATGACAAGTCTTAGGACGTTTCGCAACTGCTTAAGATCACCTAGAACTCGTGTAATGTGCAAGTCGAGGGCAGTAGAATAGTTATAACCAGGGTCGATGGGGTGGAACGGACTGCTAACGGAGATTGATTAATGGAATGAGTAACCCTAAAACACCCGAATACAAACTGATTAAAGTTGCGTTATTCCAAGAGAATTCGCAATAAATTTCTTCGCCCCCCGTGCAGTTTCAGAATGGAATTTGGTTGCAAAGTGTCCTCGTTGCAATTCGGTAAGTCTTTACAGTTTCATTTCAAGTTCTCAAGATCCTTCAGGAATGTTTCGTTACGTCAAACAGTTGCAAAGTGTCCCAGTTGGTTGGTGATCCGTGTCTTCTCATTTCCCGAGACGACCTTGCGCTTCTCAATAGTTTGGTGACACAAAGTTCAGTCTCATCTCTCCTGATCATCGTTTCATAGGAAAATGGATACGTGAGAAGCGGGAGACTACCGTAGACCACCTCTCGAATCGAAGGGGTTCACAAAAACTTGTTTTTATGATAAAGATCACAAAATTTTGTTTCAAAGACTAGCGTAGAAGAAAATAGTCTCAGAAATTGTTTGTCAGCAAGAGAAGCATGAGAAGAAGAGAAAAAGATGACGTTCCAAGGTCGGTTTGTAGGGGAAAACGGTCAGAACCTTTAGAGTATAAAAAGAGTCAGTGGGCTCGGGTCCCTCATCAGTCGACCATGAAGATCCTTCTCCTCGTCTCCATCGGACTCACTTTCTGTTCGGCTCAACAAGAAGAAGAAGAAGGAGCCGGTGCTACAGTAATCCCCCCGGCCTCCCTGTGGAATCTCAGAGGAATGGCTCAATGCGTGCTCAATTATAGTGCTCTGGTGGGTCCGGATACTCAGAAACTTCCAGAAAACTGTCAATTTTCAGTTCAACTACAATGGATACGGATGTTGGTGTGGTTTTGGAGGATCTGGAGAGCCGGTGGATGGTATCGATGAGTGCTGTAAAGAGCATGATGAGTGTTATGACGCTGCTGTCGCTGATAATGTACGTTTTCCGCAGATTTCAATGGAAAATTCGAAATCCTCTTGAAAAATCGCTCTGAAATCCATTTTCCCACGCCCTTTCGGTGCTGCCGCGTTTCTCGATGAGCCCAGGAAAGAGTTTTTCAGATTTGCGGCAAAATTTCGCCGTACATCAAAGGATACACGTGGGAGTGTGACAAGAAGACGTCCGACGCCATTTGCTCCTGTAAATTTTCGCTTCGAGACCCTAAAATTGTACAATTTTTGCAGCCAAAGACACCGGATGCAAAGCCTTTCTTTGCGATTGTGACAAAAAGGCCGTCGACTGCTGGAAACGGTTCCCGAAACCGGAGAAGAAGGCCAAGTGCATCAAGAAATAATAATTTTCATGTAAATCACAATAAAAGGTGTTTATTTATGAAATCTTCAAGTTTTTTAACCCAAGGGCGCACTTCTCCGGGGGAGATCGAGAAATGCGCCAGCACGAAAAGTGCGCCAGCGCTTGGCGATTTTCTCGATACTCTTCAATCGATCCGCGAAAACGGATTTAGAGCTAATTTTCTACGAGGATTACGAATTTTCATTTTGTTTTCAGCTGTCTCAACTGTAAAATCTAGAAAAAAAGTTTTTTTCGTGAAAAAAAAAACGCGAAAAGTAATTTGGCGAACTTTGAGAAACTAAAAGACCACCCCCTTATCAATTGCCGTGTTTTGTTTTGTATTGATAAGCGCGCGGTCATGTGTAAATAGGAATGATAGGAGAAAAAGAGGAAAAGTCAAAAACTGACGACTTCTGGTGAAAGGTCATAAGTTACCGGCCACTATTTAAACCCACCCCGGGTAGAATTTCTTTAGCTTTTTCACAAAAATGTCTCACAAATCCCTTGTTTTTATACTTTTATCCATCGGGACCATTTATTCTTCACCACAAGGGCCGAAATTAGTCGGTCCCTCCTCACTTTGGAATCTCAGAGGAATGGCTCAATGCGTGCTCAATTATAGTGCTCTGGTAGGTCCGGATGCTCAGAAACTTTCAGAAAATGCTCATTTTTCTTTCAGTTCAACTACAACGGCTATGGATGTTGGTGTGGTTTTGGAGGCTCCGGAGCCGTGGTTGATGGCATCGATCAGTGTTGTAAAGAGCATGATGAATGCTATGGACGGTCCGTGTCCGAGGATGTGAGTTTTCAATACAAAATTTGACGTCTAGAATCGCTCCGACACTTGAAAAGTGCGCCAAGAATTGACGCACTTTCGGTGCTTGAAATCTCGTTTTTTTTTCAGATTTGCGGAACCCTATCCCCCTACATCAAAGGCTACAACTGGGAATGTGAAAACTCCAGCGCCATTTGTCCAAGTACGGTTTTTTTCGCCTGTAATTTTCCCTTCAACACCCAAATTTCAGCGACAGAGAACGGATGCAAGGCGTTTCTGTGTGATTGTGACAAAAAAGTTGTGGAATGCTGGCAAAAGTTTCCGAAACCGGAGAGCAAGACGAAGTGCCCGAAATCGAATAAAATTGACATGTGAAAGTGAATGTACAGTATTTTTATTATCGATTCTTATTGAAATTTTTGATGTTCAAACGTTCTTTTTTTGAAATAATGCCCGATTTGCAACTGCAGTTGGAAGTTGAAAATTGAAACACTTTGAAAGGGTACTGTAGCGTTAGGAGACGTCGAATTATTCTCAAAATTTTTTTACAAGTCTTTGAGGTCTTGTACTATATTTTTGTAGTTGATGATTTTTTTCCAAGACCACTTCCTGGGGTACTGTAGTCCTTGGAAGTTGGGGCTCATTTCATCGCTATCTAGTTGGTGCCCAACTTCGAAACGCTACAGTACCTCAGGGATTGGTCCTAGAAAAAAGTCATCAACTACAAAAATACAGTACTAGATGTCAAGAACTTATAAAACAATTTTTAAGAATAGTATTCCACCTCTCAACGCAGAAAAAGACAGTTTGTCTTTTTTCCACTTTTCCTCGTGTTACCCTCAATCAACTTGCCAAAAAGTTTCATTTTCTCAGAAAAATTCCTACTAATAGCAGGCATGAGCTCTCAAGGACCACCGTATCAACAATGGGACCGTAAGGTTTGTAGTGATTTCTGAAAAAATAAGCACAAAAAAAGTTCAGCTCGGAGAAGTTCCACCGGGAAAAACGGATCGAAAGGCGAAGGAGTTGGCGGAGAATCTTCTAGGGAAGAATGTTCCTGAAAGTTTGTAATATTGTCCATCTCATTTCCCTCCCCAAAAAACATGTATTATCTAGAAAACTCTTCGAACCCAGCGCCTCCAGATGCTCCGGAATGCGGCCGATTCTGAAGAACTGTTTATTTGCTCGATGTTTGAATGAACTTGAGCTTTCCGCGTGCCACGTCATCAAAAAACGATTGCAAAAACCATAAAAATGTAAAAATCAACGATGGCTTCGAACCTGGGGCACCTCTGGATTGAAAGTTGAACGCTTGCCGGACTGAGCCACCCGCACAGGGCCCCAGTTCGATTTGACAGGTTTTTGCGGGCATTTTTCGAGGTGACCGATCAAAAATCTGTGCTTGACTCACTTTTCACACACTTTTCCGGTCATCCGTGACGTTTTTTAAAAGTGTCATTTCGCGCACGGGCGGCTTCCGCGCGGAATCGCTTTCCGCATTGCAAGAACGGCGAGAACATGTTTATTTGTTCAAGTGGCGGAGCTCCTCCTTTTTTGGAGCCGCAATCCGGAAAGCTCGAGGTAAAGTCGTATAAAATTGAGACGCCGCCACTGTCTCATATTTTATTCCATTTTTCGAGAATGACGAGCGGAAATCTGGCAATTTTGATCGTCTTTATGGCGATTCCGATGGTTTCCGCAGAGGTAAGTGCATAGGATTACTGTAGGTCGATTTTGGGATACTGTAGGACACGTCGACGACACTGGCCCCTCTCAGTCGGGTCCGTCGACAATGTTGTGGCTCCACGAGCTCCTCCTGCTGCGGAAACTCCAATTCTAACAGCTATTGTGTCCCGGTGTGCTTGGCACAGTGCCAATCCTCGTGTACCACCTCCAATTGTCAGCAGCAGTGTGGTAATCAGTGAGTTGAGAGTTGAGCCAGCTGAAAATGATGTGAACGTTTCGAATTAGATGCAACCAACAATGCGGAATCGCAATTTCCACCGGACCCTCGTGCTCCTCCTGCCAATCGGCGTGCTCGTCCGCGTGCACCACTCCCTCCTGCGTCCGTACGTGCCAGACCAACTCGTGCTCGAACCTCTGCGGATCGTCGTCCAACTCGTGCAACTCCCGCTGCAACTCCCAATGTCTCCAGTTGTGCACGACACCTTCCTGCTCCAATACGTGCTCGAATTCCTGTAATAACGCGTGTTCGAACGGCGGAAATCAGCCGATTGTGATCGTTGTTCCGTCGTCCGGCGGCAGAAGTTGCCAGAACTCGTGTCAGAATGTAAGAAGGGTTTGGGGGAAGTGGTCGAGACGTTGATATTGTACACTTACAGCAATGTTCGTCCGCCTGTACCACGTCGAGTTGCCGTCAAACTTGCCAGAACACGTGCATGGGCTCCTGCAACTCGGGATGCTCGGGAAACTCGTGCAATAGCAACAATAGCGTTGTTGTACTGGTAAGGAGAGTTTTCGTGCAATCTTTGTCTCAAAAAGAGCAAGTTTTCTTTGTTAAAACTATCCCATTTACCTCCAGACGCCCTGCGAACGGTCGTGCAACTCTGGCTGCCGAGCCACTTGCTCCTCGACCTCCTCCCTGAACGTCTGCATCCCGGCGTGCCAGCAAACTTGCCGCGCCACGTGTAACACCGCCAGCACTCTTGTGGTAACCAACTACAGTAACCCCAGGACTACTATAGCCCCCGGTTTTTCAGATCCCCTGCCAATCTGGATCCGGAAGCTCGTGCTCGTGCTCCAGCGGTTACTCGACGTGCGGCTCGCAATGTTGTCGCAATTGAATAATAATAATAATAATGTAAACTTCTATTATATCCTCCTAATATTGTCCGTCCATAAAACATTCCCCTCGGCCACATTGTGCATGTTCATGAGATCAACGACCGAAAAGTTGCACGATAGTTGTGCTCCGGGAGCCGAGAGTCTGTGTGTGCTCATCAGACTACACATTTTTCAAGTGGTGGCCGCCCAACCAACTCTTTGTGTTCAGACAGGAATTAGTGTGAAATAGTGACAAACACACAATTGGCAGGGTCATTTGAGCTCTCTGGTTTTCGGTGGCCATGACGTTGTGCAGAAGGAATGCAGGGTAGGGTTACTGTAGGAAATGGAAGTACAGTAATCATAAAGCTGGATGAAAAGCGAACAGAGGGTTAAAGTACCGGTTTAGGACTACTCTAAGTGACCTAAAAGTTTAGAAAAGCACAGTAACGCCAGGCTTACGGTAGATGGAATTACAGATTCAGAGAGAAAGTTGACTAATCAACCAACTTGATGGACTTGACAATAGTACAACACTTTGAAGTATTACTGTACTAGAAAGCGTCTCTTGGCAAATCTGCAGGAAGTTGGGCTATTGTAGTGAGCAGCAACAAGTACACGGACCTAAGGTCCGACTATCAGTATTGTCAATATCAGCTTCAGTATCTAACACCGAACCAATGGGACCAAACGCAAACATCGTTTCCAACTTTCCCCCCCTCAATTGCTTGACAATAATCCATGTTTCGTCGGCCGCCCGTTCGCCATGTTTATCATCCGCATTATCGCTCATTAACAAAGCGATAACAAGGTTGATCCCGCCATCGGGGAGGGCAAAAACGGGCGACCGGATGCCCGGGCGGCCCTTCGGCGGAGCCCTCGTGTCGGAAGACTTAAAAGCGCCGCCAATCTGCCACATTTTGCCACATTCGTCCCTTCACAGTGGGTTCCCAGTAAGAAAGAGACGATGAGGAATTGGCGAGTTTTGACAGTGGTCCTACTGGTTGCCAGTGTTCAGGTACCTCTTTTTGTTCTTCCTTCTTTTGACTATTATCAATTTCCAGGCCTTGCCCCGTTCAAAACGTCAAAACTGTGATTGCACGCCTGGCGAGGCGCCAAAATGCGGTTGCCAGGTGATGCCGACGCCAGAAACTGGTGGCGGACAGATGATTTGTACGTGTTCACCGCCTGTACCTCCAAAATGCGTCTGCACCGAAGGAAACGTGGTAAGTAGGCCGCCAATCGCCAATGCTCACGAAAAACACCATGGTTTTCAGAAGAACATAATAACAGGCCCGTCGCTTCCCGCTCTCTTCAAGCCCTACAGCTGTGTGACCACTTGCGAGGGCTCTTGTCTCGACTCGTGCAACCGTCTGAACTTTAACATGAAATGCGGGCAAGTGTGCAACGAGGCGTGCCAGTTCACGTGTGCCAAACAAGAATTCCCGTCGAGTACGACGACGACAACTGCGGCGCCGGCCACCACAATCAATATGATCCCACTGCCTCCGCACATCCAAGAGTATCGATTTGTGATCCCCGCCGCAAGTCTCCAAACGACCACTTCGACGACGACGACGACGCTGAAGCCGTTGGTGCTCACGCAGAAGATTCAGGTGGGTCCTGGCGGTTGAAGCGCGTCAAAATGAACGGTTTTGTAGATCACATGTCCCTCGGAATGTCAGCCCGCTTGCAGTTTTGTGTGCACCAAGTTGAGACCAACTTTGAAGGTGATCACACAAATGTTCGACTCGAAGACGGACGAAGGAACGTGTAGGACCAGTTGTAGCAGTGCTTGTTTGTCGGTTTGCGCGTAAGTGTTTATAAATGAAGTGTATCTCGGCTGCCAGTAGAGATATCAAAAAGTGGTCAACTGATAAAATGTACAAAATGTTTCAATGAGCAATTTCTTAGTTGACAACTTTCTGATATCTCTATCGGCACCTGAGATACATCGCTTTGAATAAACGGTATATTAAAAGAATGTAGGTCAACCCAGTTCAATAGATCACAACTTTTTTAAATCAGCTAGAACCATGAATCACTACAAACTAGGCCAAGGTTTGATCGAAAATCTACTCCGACAATATATTTGCAACCACAAACAGGTCTTCCGGCGTGACGGGCACCGAATGCCAATCGAATTGTGCGCCCGCCTGCGAGGACACATGCACCATTGTGAAGCCGGTGAGAGCATTATTCGGAAAAGTGCCAAAAAAGGGCAAAAGTCGATTTGTAGGTGGCGGTTGCCACGGCTCAAGTGAACGTGCAGCCGACGTCCGCCGCCGGAGGACAATGCGTTTCCGTGTGCATGCCCGCATGCACTCAACAGTGCATGTTCACCGTTCAGGTACTGTAGTTGCTGCTGCCACGCCCCTTGAGAGTACTGTAGTTCATTCAGATGCAAATCGCCCTTCAGCAAGCGACTTCCAGTCAATCTACTGAAAAACCGGGCCAGGCGGTGTTGATCCCGATCCCACCGGTCGGCATTTTGGTCCCTGAAAGTTAGTTAACAATATCTAAATGAATTAAAAATGTCTTTTCAGCCACTACCACCACTACAACAGCATCTCCAGTCATCACTTTGGGCACCATTTGTAGGAATGAGTGTTTGGTAAGGTTTTCAAAGTTTGAAACATTCACAAAGTTGCCACTGTAAAAACCTAGACTAGAATCTTCCCCAAAGTCCATATTCTAGTCTATAACCCGTACATTTAGTGTTTGACCCGTTCTCTAGACTTACGCTGACCCCCCCAACTGAACATCCACTTGAGAAATGTGCTTCACAACAATATTCTGATGAAATCTCGGCTATTTCGGAAGCTTCAGCCTCGACGCGAGAAAACCGAAGGAACATTGTTCAAACAAACATCGAGAGAGACCCCCCTCGCAATCCGAACATCGGGGTAACCCACTCATAATTCCATTGTTTCCTTCCTTTTTGCTTTTTGTGTGAAACAATACAACGAACAATAGAGGTGAAACGGGTCGAAAATTTCGCAAGACCAAAAAAAAAGAAGAGAAGAAGTTTTCAGGTGCAATGTGAGCACCAGTGCTCGCCGGGCAATCCGAACTGTATGGCGGCGTGCCAGACGACGTGCTATCCGGTGTGCCAATCGAAAATGCGAAGGCGGATGAAGGAGATCAAGGCCGAACGACTCGTCGCCGATTTTGTTGCCCGCTGACGATGCACCATGACTAACTTATTTTTGAGCCCAAGGGTATTCATCATCACGAAATCGATCGATTGTGTATTATTATTATGGAATGGTACAAACTTGTTTTTTGCGAATATTTAGTATGTATGTACGCTGCTTCTAGTTGACCGTTTAGTCAATTTATATTGCAAACTTTGTCGAATTCAATCAACAATAAACTATTTTACAGTGATTTTTACTTGTCTCTGGGGTTACTGTACTTTCAAGAATTGTCACGTATGAAAATGAAAAGAAGGAGTTCAAAAAGATGTTTAACAAGAAGTGTAAGACTGTTATTTCTAGCCAAAATGTTTCAGGAGCTTTATACTTTTGCGTACAGAAAGTCTACAACTTACAGTAATCCCTCGCATCGTCATTTTTAGCAGTTACTTTTTTCAAGCACGATTGTTACCGTACTCCTCCCAATCTACCAGTGTGTTAGTTAAAATTGGACCCGAATTAGGACAGAATGAAACATAAGACAAGGCTTAAAACTGCTCCAAATTAGTCAACTCTAAAGAAAAACATCCAGAAAATGGGTAACTTGGTCCCGCCGTAAAGTAAGTCACTAGATCATAAGAAATTTGGTCAGTAGGTTAGCCAAAGATCAACCAAATTTGATAGAAAGACTGAGCTATTGAGCCAGTCAACAAATGATCCACAGTAAATGCATAGAAACACTAGGGTAGTGAGGTCTATTAAAGGACCAGGGAACCCAAAAATTTTTTGATTTTTTTGTGAAATGTTTTTGTGACTGTTTGAATTGTCTCTTATTGCCTCATACACTGGTGAAATGCTGCCACTCGAAAATGCCAATGAACGAAACGGCATGCAGTTGAAGTTGTGGCCGTGGCCTAGCGCCAATGGCCGAAAAATATATAAAAATATATGCGCTTCTCGGCAATTTTATTTTTTCCGCTTTTTTACCGGTTTTTTTCCAAAAATTCATGGTTTCTCCCATTTTGGCACTTCATAGCGACTGAATGAAAACAATTTTTTAGCAGTGAAAAAATAAGTAAGTGCCGAACAAATGTCAATCAACTGAAAAATGGGAGAAACCGTGAATTTTTGAAAAAAAACCGGTAAAAAAGCGGAAAAAATAAAATGGCCGAGAAGCGCATATTTCTAGGCCATTGGCGCTAGGCCACGGCCACAACTTCAACTGCATGCCATTTCGTTCATTGGCATTTTTGAGAGGCAGCATTTCACCAGTGTATGAGGCAATAAGAGACAATTCAAACAGTCACAAAAAAATTTCACAAAAAAATCAAAAAATTTTGGGTTCCCTGGTCCTTTAAAGTCAGTGCAACTGGAAACCAGGTCAGCACTACCGTACCCCGTTTGTGCCGTGCTCTCTGATCATTCGGCCACTTTTTGCGACCCCAAAAAGGTGCATCCCAGTGCCATATAATCAGTCGTAATCCTCCGATCACAATGCCCTTTCTTCCATCCATTCCGTTTCCACAAAAAAAAACAAACACTCTTCTAGACAAGAGGATGCCCTCTGAGCGTCTCTCCAAATTAGTGTCCGAACATGTCTGCGTCTGTGTGGGCGCCTTGTTGAGTGAAAATGTGAAAAGCGAACGCACACACACACACAGTCTGCTCCAGAGAGCCTCCAGAGCCGAAACGACACGGAAAATGACAAACAAACACGGGCAAAAAGAGCGCAAAAAGAGAAAAAGATGGAAAGAGAGAGAGAGAGAGAGAGAGTTGCCGCGCGGCGCCGCGCGTCAGGCTGTCCCCCGTGTGTGTGTGTGTGTGTGTGTGGCGGAAGTTTTGCCCCTCCCCTCCGCCCGCTGACCGCTTGAGCACATTCCACTGTAGAGAAGAGAAAGAGAGAGAAGAAGTTTCGAGTTGGAGAAGAAGAAAGAGAGAGAGAGAGAGAGAGAGAGAGAGAGAGAGATCCTCCCCCTCCTAATCACTTCTCACTCTTTCCTTCTGTGTTGCCAAGTGTTGGAAGTGACAGACGTTCTCTTCCGATGGGCACCTCAAGGCTCTTATTTCTACTCTTCCTACTCGTCGCCTGCGCCACTGCTGTAAGTTTTTTCCTCTCAAAAATGTGTCCTAGATTTGATCTGATCCACATCTAGAAGGTTCTGAACTACTTTCCACGTGACCTAATGACCTAATTTTGTCCCACTTTTTGGCCAACTTTCTGATGTGCTAGTTTGATCCACTTTTAGGCAGGCTCACTCGACTTCAAGTTCGAATAGTGTCGGATTTGCAAGCAAATAGTTTCCTAGTTGCCCAAATTCTGTAAAACCTGAACTTGCTATCACAAAAACCCCTCACCGTTCCCCGAAAGTTCAAAAAAAAGTTTCGAAAAGTTTCCGTCAATCCTGTCTGCTTTCGCGTTTCGCCCGCTGACCTCTAGCCTCGAGTGCGATTCCAAATTGAGCACCAGTTCTAAAAGCTCTCTCTCTATTTTCAAAGGTTTCTATTTCAAAAGCCGCCCAGTTTTCTTCGTTTCCCTCCCAAAAGGTTTCCTATTGTAAGAAGCGCAAATCGAGAGAAGACACAATGGGGGCAACGCGAGAAATGGGTAAACACATGTTCTTCGGGAAAAAGGACATCATGACCTATCCGAGAGAATGTCTGGAGACTCAAGAAATGAAGGGGATCCGATATTGTAGATCAACTTTTTGATCACACACACACACACACCTCATAGACTTTTACGGAAATCGTTCCTAGCGGCTAACGAAGTGTGATGAAACTCTTGAGAACTTTTCAAGTACCCCCCTTATCACCTTTCCATTTCGTCTCTATTAGTGATATCGGATATCCGATATTTCCTGTTGAACCACCCGGTAGCCCAACACACTGTTTGCCCAACAAATATCGGCGGATTGATTACGGAAAAACGATTGGATGCTGGTGTTGACGGCCTAATCGAAAATTCGAAATTCGTTCGCTGCATGAAAAAGTGGAAAAACGTGTACGTAGTCGATTTCGATTCGGACCGAGCGGGTCTGAAATATAGAGTTTTACGAAAGCCAACCTAGTTTTCAAGATAATCACCACACTAATTGATCGTTTGTTTTGCCTACCAAATTTCTCGTAGAGCTCCTTCTCGCCCATGTTCAGGTTCTGGCGAATAATGGTGGGGGCAAAATTTTCGAGTGGTTTTTCTCACGAAACAAGCAGCAGCAGCACAAATCTATCCTTGTCGCCCCCGCTGGTCATCACACTTGTTGACACGATGCCTTTCGCGAGCGCGCGCTTGCGGCTACCGCGCGGAAAAGTAGACGAACAAGAGGGGGGCGACATGCTAATCAGTGCAAAACACAGAAAAAGTACAGTAACCCGGTTTTGTTGGTTGCAGAGCCGACGATTGAAGCGACAGTGTGGATGCTCGAACTTTTGTAATTGTCAGCAGCAGCAGATTTTCTTCGCACAAATCTCGTTGCCGGCGTGTTCTTGTCAACAGGCGCCGATTTGTCAGCCGCAGTGTCCGAGGGCCGAGATTGTGAGTTTCGGCTTCTAGGCCACAGTCACCTACTTCTTCCAGAACTCTGACTGCTCGGCGACATGCGTCCGCGCCTGTATCCCGTCGTGTTCCAAGAGCACCGGCAACACGTTCGCCTGCTCGACGACCTGCGAGAGCACGTGTGACAAAACTTGCGCATCGGCCGCTCAACAGGCGATCGCTCAAGTTCAAGTACGTCTCAATTTCGGCAAATGTCGCGTAGCTGTAATATTGTAGGTTCAAGTGTCGCCGCCGAATCCACAGCCACTGGTACCCACTTCCAATGTCGCCGTCGCCGCTTCCGCACCAATTGTCGACGATTCGTGTCAGAATGTGTGTCAGAATGTGTGTCAGGGGGCTTGCGTTTCGCAAAACTCTCCGCCGGCTGTTTGTCAGCAGACTTGCAGACAGAGCTGCCAATTCGGATGCTCCACCAACGAACAAAGTGAGTTGGATCAGTTACGGATCGCCTTGGTTGACCTAGTTCTTGATTGAGTCAGTAGCCCCCAGAACTACAAGATCTTTGCTTTTAGCTCAGTTCTCACTGGTTAGTTTGACCTGGTGACGTAGTTTTTCTGAAACTTGAAGATAGACTAACTCGAGCGTCCGAATTCCTGGCCTTTTTCCAGTCGCCGCGACCACGACCACGACCCTCACCCCGCCAACGATCAAAATCACTCTGGACATCAACGACGCCTACTTCGACTCGAACTGCGCGCCCAAGTGCACCCAATCCTGTCACTCGCAGTGCATTTCGCAAGGAAACGCGGCGAACTCGTGCTCGAACAGTTGCAACAACGAGTGCTCCCAAAAATGCTCTCAACGGATCCAGCAGGCTCAGATCCAGCCGCAACAGGTGCTCATCACAGTCCCCACCTCCTCTAGTTCGAACTCGAATCCGTGCCAATCGCGTTGCGAGAACCGTTGCCTGGCCACGTGTCAAGCGACGCAACCATCGGCGTCGGTGTGCGCGCCGTCGTGCTCCACAGCCTGTCAGTTGTCCTGCGACACGCTCACCACCTCCACCTCCACCACTTCCACCACTTCCACGCCGAGACCGATCAGCATTGAGGTGAGGGCGCAGTGCACTCCGTCGTGTATGCCCCAATGCCAACCGTCCTGTACCGCCACCACCACAACCCCCCTTCCCATCCCTACCCTGGCCCCAGTCCCCTCCCCCACAACGTGCATTCCGCCGTGCCAACCGCAATGTCTTCAAACGTGTCTGGAACAGTACATTCAACTTCCCGCCGCCGCCACTACTACTCCGACTCCCGGTATCCAGTGCATTCCGCAATGTCTGCCGAGTTGTGAGCCACAGTGCATTCAGGAGGCGACCACCACTACCACTACTCCTGTTCCTTCAACAACCAGTACCCAGGTACCTGACTATGAGTTCTCCACCGAAACGCCTTTTAACCCGAGCACCAGTACTGTTGAGTATGAAGATCAAGAGCTAACCAGCACTGAGGAGCCGGAACCAGAGCCAGAGCCGGAGCCTGAAGAACCATCGACTTTAGAGCCTAGCACCACAGAGCCTTATGACTATCCACAATACGACCAGCCAACCACGAGCACCACTAATCCCGCACCAACTCAACCACAATGTCTCCCCGCGTGTCAACCGACTTGCAACCAAAACTGCATTGTCGCCATGCAAGTGCTCCTCTACATTTCGTGTCCGGAAGCCTGTCGTCCCGCCTGTGATCCCCAATGCGCCTATCAGTACTTGCGGAACAATCCGTCCACCCCACAGCACTATAATCCGCCCGGAGCACTGCAACCACAGGCTCAATGCGTGTCGGCTTGTATGCCCGCGTGTTTATTGGATTGTGTCCTTCCGTACTTTAGCGAAAAGATTCTGCCGACGCTGTCGCCGCGAATTGTGGTCGATCAGATTTTGGAGCGGCCCGATTATAGGCTGAGGGATCCGGGGACGACTACGGTTACGCCTCAATACGTGACGGCTCAAGTCCCGCAGGCTCAGACCCAAGCAACAGCTGGGCCACAGTATCTGACCCCCCAAACCCTCCACGTCCAATACCAAACCTCAGCACCGTCCCAACAACCCACCCTACGCACCCAATACGTTCAAGCCCAACCCACACCCACACAAACCTTCACTCTCGCCCAACACCAAGCCCAAAACATTGCCAAAGCCGTGCAGGCCTCCAACGCGGCCTACAACGCACCCAGTCAGCCTAGTCCGGGCGCTTACCAGCCGTGGACGGTACCTCAGACCCCGATTAGTATGCCGGGAAGTGCGTATAACTCTGCGGCACAGGGCCCGAGTACGTTCAAGTTCAATCCGGCCATGCCGCCGGTGAGCCTGGACCCCACTCAAGGTCAGGTACCATTCCAATTGCGAATGGTTCAAGTTGGAGGGCTTCAGAAGCAGTTGAACCCAGCGGCGCCTGTCAATTATCTCACTGTTAACATGAAACCACCTACGTTTAGTTCTGCACCGCAGCTCCAACCGCCCCAACCCCTATCCCAACTTCGCCAACCTTTCTCCGCTTACGGAACCATCCCGAAACACCCGAACACCCCCATCCAATCCTCGTCCCTCGCAACCCCTCAAGACACGGACACCGATAACACCCCGTTTGCGGATTACGTAAAAACCGAGTCTGTCGAGCAGATCGAGGAAGAGTGCGTCCCGCAGTGCATGCCCCAATGCGACCGCTTCTGCATCGCTCAGCACCGCTACAGTCTGCCGGGCAACCGGACGTGCCCGCCCGCCTGCATGCCCGAATGCTCGGTTCAATGCGTGAGCACTCTGCAATGTCCTCGTGCGTGCCAGCCGCTGTGCAATGCTTCTTGCCTTCAGCGACCGCCCGTCATCAAGATCACCGTGACCGGACAGCAGCTCAAGTGTGCTGAGCAGTGCCAGCCGGCGTGCGAGCCCCAGTGCATCATCGCCACGATCAAGGTTCCTCAGTTTTTTTTTAAATAATTTTTTTTGCTTTGAATGTTGCTTCCGCTTCGGTTTAGTTAATTTGTGTTCGACTCACATTGGTTGCCGGTTGACGGGAAGTTTTGATTCAGAGCCCACCACAAACTCAACAACAGCAAATCGTCGTGGCGCCGACGACAACCACCACCACCGCCGCACCGCCTGCACAACAGCAGCAACTTGCCAGTTGCCCACAACTTTGTCAGCCACAGTGCACTTCACAATGCGTTCAGGTATCCCTCCGCGGTTTAAATTGGGGCCCAGGACTTTTGTTCGAACCTTCCAATTCATCTTTCAGCAACAACAATGTCCATGCCAGCAAACGTGTCAAACCGGATGCAATCAGCACAACCCGGACCCGAAAGTCTGTCAGAATGTGTGCGTCGAAGTGTGCGCCTCCGAGTGTCCCACTTCCGCCTCGAGCCAACCGGTCTACCAGACAGTCCAGACGCCCCTGTCCTACGTGCCCGTGGTCCCCGTCTCGACGTCCACCGGCTCCACCTCTCAGATTCCGCAGATCCTCATCAACTTCGCGGTGCCGGAATGCGTGCCCGTCTGCGAGCAGAGCTGCAACACCCAATGCATCGAAAAGTTCCCGCAGGAGCATTGCGGCTCCGTGTGCAACTCTCAGTGCCAGGCTGCTTGCAGCACTCAGACTCAACAGACGATCGCTCAGGCGCCAACTTGTCAGCCTCAATGCCAACCGGCTTGTGAGCAGTCTTGCATTGCTCAGCAAGCGCAACCCGTCAAAATCCAAGTGGATCTTGCCGGACAGTCCCAAGCTTCTTCCGCATCTCAAATCCAATGTCAGCCAATGTGCGAGCAGAGTTGTGTGTCCGAGTGCCAGGGGTCGACACTGAATGTGCAGGCTGCCACGTGTCAACCCGCCTGCCAAGCCATTTGCCAACAATCCTGCGCTCCGCTCACTTCCTCTTCTGCTTCGACTCCCACTCAGACAATCGCCACGTCATCATCATCATCATCGGCGACGACCCAATTGTGCACTCCAAAGTGCATGAGCGACTGTCAGGGATTGTGCAAGTCCAACTCGCCGCAGTGCATTCAAGGTATCGGGTTACTGTAGTGTAGACCATTCCAGAAGTTATTCTACTCTTTCAGGATGCGACGCTTCTTGTCAGCAACTGTGCGGCACCGCGCCGACGCCCGTCGTTCAGTTGACCGTCAACTACAATTGTAATCTTCCGTGTGACGCACAGTGCACTCAGCAGTGCTATCATCAGGGTGAGTGGGGTGGACTAGGAAAAGCTAGGCCACCGACTATGAACTGAGATTATGAGGGAAAAAAAGAGTTTGTAGGCGACTTAGCAGGTTGTAGGAGGAGTAGGAGTCCAAAGCGTGAAGAAAAGTTAGGCCACCCTGTGTGAAAGCTCGTCCACCTCTAAAACAGTGCCATTTTCAGCCGCTTCGTGTGCTCCGGCGTGTGCCCAGGCCTGTGAGTCCCAATGTCCGACAGTTTCGTGCGAGGACGCGTGCCAGACCGTCTGCAAGGGCCAGTGCGTCTTCTCGGGCCAGAATTCGCGCCAATGCGGTCCCGCTTGCGCACAATCGTGCAGTTCGTTGTGCCACAAGAAGAGGGTGAAACGGTCCTAACCGCTTCATCTTAGACCCTTTTCGGACCAAATTCGTTGGACCAATTCTCTGCTCAATTCTGACCTATGTGGGTCCGTCTGTCACACACACACCTAATTTATTTCCCTCTTTTTTGTTAACTTTTTTGTGTCAGTATAATGAAAACCAATAAAAAACTTTGAATTTGAAATCAAATCGAAATCAACAATAACAGCAACGAAGAAACAGTAGAAACAATAACAAAATGTTCGGGGAAACAGAGAAAAAGACTAATTAATCCTCGTCACTCCACGCGCCCATATCGGCGAATTGGTCGGGGACCGTCGCGTCGGCCTTCTTCGCCGCCGCTCCGATCTTTATACGCTTTCGTTTCGCCTTCGAAATCTCCGGCTTCACGTCTTCATCTCCCTCTTCTTCTTCTTCCACGTCTACAGTGGCCTTCCGCTTCTTCGTCGCCGATTCCTCTTCCTTCTTCTTCTTCTTTTCGTCTTTCTTCTGCAAAAACTACTGATTTTTCAGTTTTTGCGCTAGAATGTACAAATTTCACTTGAATTCAAAGTTGATTAATTCTGATTAGTCAAAGTTGATTAATTTTAACAATTTCTGGGCAAATTTGCTGTGGTGAAACCGTTTTTCGCGTCAAAAATACACATGTTTCGTAACGTACCGAGTTCTCGAGAGCACTTCTCTCCTTCATCTTCCACACCTTCTCCCACTGCCGATAGAACGTCTTGATCGGCGAATCCGGATTGTTGAGGTCGAAACGGACGGCGCGCTGGAAAATAATACAATTTATGTTTCATAAACATCTGCTCCAACTGGTTAACAGCGATGATAAATTGGAAATAGACGTACCACTTGCATCTCATCGTTCAAATCCACGTGTTTGCTGGCAAGAACGTCCAGGACGAAGCGCGAATGCTCTTTCAGTTTCGTCTGGTATCCGCGAAACAAATGAGCGTAGTCGCCGTTTTTCATCGTCTCCAGAATCGACGAGATCTGAAATGATGCACTAAACTTCTACAGTAGTACTACTAACTTCATAAAGAATTACTGTAGAAGGTTCAAAACAACTATTAGAGCTCAAAAGACTTTCTGAGAGACTACAGTACTAACTCGATGATTGACGGGCAGAACGACGTCGGGGAAGGCGGCCTGGCTGGCGAGCAGATGCGCGGCCTGCATCATCGTGCGGAACACGTGCTCGCACACCACTTTCCGCCACTGCGGCAGGTCGACGTACTGCGAGGAGCACTTGAGTGTGCACTCCATGTCCGGCAGCTTCACCGCTCCTTTCGCCACCTTCGGCTTCGATTTCAGCTCACGGGCGAGCTCTTCCAGGCACTGAAAATGGAATTGATCGAAGATAGGTGTTGAAGAAGCATAGGGTCGACAGAAAGCTTCATTCCAAAAGGGTTCAGGTCTGTCACAGTTTCTAAGCTGTCCAAGGCACTTCAGAAATTTTCTCTTCCACGGTTCATAGTGCTCCAATTCATTCTAGACTTGCTCCGAAAGCTTCAGAACTTTCGGAAAACCTATAAATGCACCGAAGCCCCTACGAACTGCTATTAGAGCTCAAAAGCAACTCGAGAAGTTTTAAAATCTTTGAGAAACTCTTTGAAAACCCGTACTAACATCACACGAGAGCTGCAGAATCGGAATATAATTGGTGCAACTGGCTTGCAGCTGGATGAGCAGTTGACAGCAGTGAAGACGGAGCGGAAGGAATGTCGGCGCGTTGCAAAGTCTGCAAAATTTCCGGGTTTTCCAGAAAATCCATCAATTTGGGAGGTACCTAAAGATGCCGACGATGGCCTGAATGAGCGGATAGACGAGTTCTCCGATCGTCTCGGCTCCGTTCACCGAGTGCGCTTTCGCGATGACACGCACCCACATGTACATGCACTGCATCATTTGCCAGTTGTAGATCGAGAAGATCAGGTCCTGAAATTATGCAAAGGAAAAGTTAGGCCACACGTTTTCAGTCATTTCTAACCTTGCGTCCCTTGGCAATCATTGCGTTGCGGAGATGAACGGCCGTCTGACGAATGTAGACGAATGCGTACTTGTACGCTGCCTCCGGATTCAGAATCGTGAGCTCGGCGAACGTGCGGTGCATGAATTGGAGCAGCGGCCACGTCTCGTTCGTCACCACCTTCGAGTTGGCCACAAATGCCACGTAGGCGGTCTGGAAAACACATTTTGTGGATTTCTAGGTCATTCCTTCGAAAACAGCCTATTTCTTTCAATTTTCTCAACTTTCACTCCAAATACCTTGTAAAGCGGCACAAAGTGCTGCGGATAGTTTTTGACGAGCAAATTCATGCAAACGAACGCCGGCAGACGGCATTCCAAAGTTTTGCGGCTCCAAATTCGAACAATCGCCTGGAAAAACACACAAGGTTTTCCCCACTTTTTGTGGATTTTACCTTGATCAAAAGACGGGACATTCTCGAAAAGTGCGCGTAGAGATCGACAAGGCGAGTGATTGCTTTGAGCGTCGCGATGAGCACTTCGGTAGTTTGCACCTCGTTCAGGAACACGATCATCGCGTGGAGGTACGTGCGCACGTACGTTTGGTACTTTTTGATGGCCGTCTTCGAGAAGAGCACCTTTTCGCCTTCCGGTTTGGCGCGCAGCAGCCGTTTGAGCACGTCTGGCATCGCTTGGAAGCAGAGACGGACTACCGCCTCGAAGATGGACTGCTCGTTGATCACGTACTTCGGCGCCTCGATGTCCGCGCCGACGCGGGCCACGCACGCGACGAACACGTCGACGGCCATGCGCACGTCCGACGGGTTGATTGGCGTGGAGGTCTGGAATCGGAAGGGTATGGACTATTCTGAACTGAACTGTTTGACCTAATACTCGAACTTTTAAATAACCGATCGGATCTGACTTTGTAAAATGACTATCTGATATGGGGTTACTCTCAATTTACCGCTTTTGTCCATCGGTGTTTGCGTACTCAAGCCTAAATTCGGAAAGTTTGGCTCGAGTCTACAAACACCAAGGGATCACTGTAGTTCCACACTCATTCTACCTCATCATCGAGCACAAGCACTTGTTGCAAATACGAATAGACGCCCGAATCGACAATCAATCGTCCGGAGCTATCGGATTTCGCTTTCGGCTTCTTGATCTTCTTCACTTTCGTCTCATCCTCATCGTCCTCATCGTCATCTTCATCTGATTCCTCTTCTTCTTCCTCGTCTGAATCCTCCCCTTCGTCGTCGTCATCGTCTTCGGCCTCCATATTCAAAAGATCCGCGTCTTCTTGTTGAAGAAATTTGAAGAACTCCGGATCCGTCAGTTTGAGCCTACAAGATAAATTGTGAAAATGAAAAAGATGAAAAGAATATTGTACTTCTCGAGGTCGAGCTTGTGTTTCTTGATGCCGCCCTTCTGCACCTGCACCGTTCCGTCGTCCTCCTCGTCCGATTCGTGCCCGTCCAAACTTCCTTCTCCGTCCAACTTCGGCACTTCTTCATCAGAAGACGTCGCCTCGTCTTCAGAAGGCGCCCGTTTCGGAATCGCCTTCTTCTTTTTGAGCCCGACCGTTTTCTTGCTCATTTTCGCCACTTTCATTCTGCAAAATATGAAATTTTCAGTGGGGAAAGTGAAGAAAATCGATCAAAACGGTAGAAACGGTAGCTTGTGATACGTTTTTGAAATTGAGAGAGAAACGTGACGGGACTATGCAAATGAATCGATTTTTCAACAGAGAAAAACAAAGGGCACGTTATTTCGGAGTGTCGTAAGTCTGCGGTTTTCTTGGGCAGATACGCGGTTGACGGATTCTTCTAGTCTATCTTTCCTAGAACTTCTAGATTTCTCAAAAATTATCTCCCGGCCATGAGAAAAACATAGAAATTAGTGGAAATCAGAGATCTTGACACTTTTCCTCCGTTTCTCCGCGAGTACATCTCGATCATCACACGCTTTCCGTCATCCTCCGATTATGTACTGTGTTCGGAATCCAACAAAGCGACGTTGTTGCTTTTTGCGTTCTCCTCGAAATCCGACACGCGCGCATCCAATGGATCGGGGTCAGTGGACACAGAGATTGCGGTTGCAGAGAGGAGCAGAGAGAGAGGAAGAGAAAGTGAGACCTTTCTTTGTGAAACGAGGAAATGAAGTGATACGATTTGCATAATCTCTACAAATCACCACTTTTTGTGGGTCACCTTTTTGACAAACTTTTCCAGAGTTTTCTAGGCCAAATTTAGAAAAAGTGAAATATTTTCCTGGGCTAAACCTTCACGAATACTGTAGCACTACTGTACTTTCAAAAAAAATCCGTCTCTGACGGTATTACGCAAATCCTCTCCTCCTCCTCTTTTTGTGTTTGGCTGTTCGAAGCAACATTCAATTGGAAGAATGGGAGACGGGGAGGGAACGTAGAACACGAACCGGTTGTTTCTCTTCGGAAAAGCGGCGGGGTGGCTAGCCGTTTAGGCTTCTGCGCCAACTATTCCCAGCCTCTACGTGAGTGAGTGACTGAGGATTCCATTACGTTCCACAGCGTGCGGACTAGCTTCTTCTAGGCCACTCTCTTCGAATTAAAAGTTACAGTTCAGATTCGAGATTCTGTAAGCTTCTCATTAGATTACGCTTTAGGCCAGATTTCAATCTAATCTCCTGCTAGAAAGTTGAATTTTTAAGGGGTGGAAAAGTTTTCCTTCTTCTGAAACACTTCGTGGCCTAGAATCCGGATATTTGGATACTCAGGACAAGATTCGGTGTTAGGCAGCTGAGAAATTCGTATTTTCGGGGATCTAGGCTGGAACTGCCGAATAATTTAGCCTAACTCGAATTTTCCGTTGTTTTTCCAATGCTGGCACCAAAATGATAGTCTACACTTCAATCTATGTGCAGATTTAGGCTCTCAATGCTTCTGGCTTATTCGGTCCCGCTTTTCACACGTTCTCTTCAGAAATCTGTGTTTTCTGGCTACTTTGAACACGAGAATCAGCGGAAAGCGCAATCCCAACGACAATTTCGTAATAAAACGGCCATTCCCCATCGACGGCATTTTCGAATCACTTCTGACCGGGCGCTACTATAGCCGTCGTTTGTGTTTGTGTCTCTAGTGGACGCCACGACGAAAGAAGAAACGAGAAACGCTTTCGTCCGCGCGGAAGAATGGCTAAGCGGCAATCTGCCGCGTCGTCGACGCCTACGCGCTTCTTCATCATTCTTTCTCTCACCCCCTCCTTTTTTGCATGGATAATACCATCTTCTTTACGCACAGAGACTGTCAAATTTTGCTCATCTCTATTTACTGTCTCTAATTTCACTAAATTCGCCAACTTTCAGCGCCGAAATGTTCATCACACTGTCCTACACAACACACACGATCATCTCGATATCTCTACACGTCCTGGGCGTCGTCATCGGCCTATTTGTCTGGTATCTATTTCCCAAACATGTGAGTTATGGGGTTTTGAAGGAAAACTTGTGAACCTGCTTTGATTTTATAATTTTGAATGAAGAACAAAGGTAAAAACACCGAAACGCGCACGAATTTGGCCGGAATTTGAATTGCCAAGCTCAAAAACTCTAAAAACTTCAGATTTTCAGCCGACGCGTTCGATCGTCCAACTACCGTCCGAACGAGTAGCCGTCTGTATCGATCGGTCGCCGATTTGCACAAAAACCGAGCAGTTGATGGTTCCGTTCCATCAAAACGGTCAACATTTGATGCATAATAACGAAAACGCGGAGAAATTAATCGACTTCGACGATCATCACCTACCGCACATCTCGGCGCTTCGCCAATTTGGATAGTCGCTACTTTTTGCAATTTTTAGAACATCTTCCGAGTTACGAGTATGAAAATTTACAACAGTGATAATAAAGATATGGAATGCCGCTGCAAACGGTCAGAAAATTGGAAAAACGTGTGAAAAGCTGCTTTCTTTGCATAAACATATATAAAAATGAATAAATAATGGGGGGGGGGGTTGTTGTTCATCCCTGAGCTCCTTGAGCCAGCCGACAGAGCTCGTCGATTCCGGACGGTCTCCAGATGAACTCCACCGGGTCCATCACGTAGATCATGCCCGAATCGATGTAGATCGACACGGCGCCGAACCAGAACACCTGCAAAAACAGTAAGATTCTCCAAGGTTTTCCCAATCTTCTCCCCTACCTGTCTGCCGTCTTTGAATCGATCCTTCTGCGGATGATACGTGAATCCATTGCGGGCGGCCGTGATTTCGATAATGTCCTTGAGTGATAACTGTTGTTGCGGAGCACTCATCGGCGGAGGCGGCGGAGCCAATTGGGCACCAGAAGTGGGCGGGGCCACCGAAGAAGCCATTCCACTCACTTTCTCGCCACGCATCGAACAGCCGAGGGCGATCATAGCGCGGCGCAGATTTTCTGGAGAAAAAGACGGGATTCAAAAAAGAACCACAAGAATGGCGTACCATTGACAGTCGGATAACTGGCGATCACTTCGGGTATTCGATTTTTCCACGCCGCGTACCACATTTTCACCTCCGCGTAATTCACGCCTGGACTGTCGAGCCATTGGCAGAATGCCGCGTAGAACTGCAAAAAGATGAGGAGAAGATGGGAAAAAATCGCCAAAACTTACCCTGGGAAAGAAGTATTTGGTGACTATATTGGCGATCGCGTCGGGATGCGCCATCTCCAGCCACTGCATGACGGCCGTCCACTGCGGATAATCGGGGTTCTTGCCCGGATTCAGTTCCATGTTCTCGAGTGCCGCGCCCAGTTTCGGAATCACATTCTGGCCGATGAATGCGCCAAAAGTGCCCGGACTCCAGACGTTCCGCCACGGTCGCAGCACTTCCAGCGCACTTCCGTCCATCGGATCCCACTGTTTCAGGGCTTTCGCCAGTTTCTGACGGATCGGGGGCATCACCGCCTGAAAATGAAATGGAAACAATTGTGTAATCCCTGAAATTAGCGTACCTGAATGCGATCGCCGAGAACGACGAGCCAGGGACACAGCCATTGATGGATGGGCATTTCGTCGGTGACCGGATCCCAGTCGCTCACTTTTTCCGATATTTTGGGGATGACGAGCTGCTCGAGTATGTTCTCCTTGATCCAAATCGGCAGCAGGGGCGTCCATTGCTCGATCAGCTCGAGCATTTCGTTCATTTCCGAGCGGGGGTCCCATTGGAGACAGCACCGCCGCACCGACGGCACTACTCCCTCCCAGATGAGCCGGTCGTACGCCGCAATCTCGTCGCCCATTTTATTGTGTCCGAATGTCATTTTGCCTGTGGAATTCTCGAGAATCTCTCGCCATTCGGCAACCAAATCGCAACCGTAATCCTTTTGTTTCAACGGTGTCCACGTGGCGAAGTGGCGTTGAACAAGGGGGAGTACGGTAGGAATGGCCACCGACTCGAGCGAATATAACTGGTATTCGTGGCCGAATTCCGAGCGGAGACGACGGAACAGTTGCTGGCACTCGGACATGCTCGGCGAGTTGTTCGATGAGAATCTGGAATGGGAACATGTAGAAATCGCCAACTTTTGCCAGAATATTCCCAAACTAACCCTTGAAGTATGGAATAGACCTCGTTCAAATGCTGTGCCTCGTGCTCCTCCGCGTCGAGTGCCTTCTCCGCCTGCTGCAGGTCGTACTCCATGGCGGTCGTCTGGTCTTTGAGCCCGATCAGTTGCTGGTTGCTCCGTCGGATGCCCTCTTCCGTCAGGTCCACCAGCAGGTTCAGATTGTGGATCAGCTCGGGAACGTCGAAAACGGTCCGTTCCTCCTCGTCGACCACATCGTACTCGGAGCGGGTTTTCATCGAGAACGAGTCGTACCCCGAGTAGACTTTTTGCTGTTTTCCCGTCATATCGATCACTTTAATGTTGGAATAATGCGCCGAATTCTGATGCGAGGGCATTGTTTTCGAGCCGGAAGTGCCCTCCTCGAGCACCTCCTCGATCGTACGGTACTTGGTCTTCACTTTTTGCGATTTCTTCCATCCGCCCTTGATTTTTATAGTTTTTTCCGCATTTTCATCATTGTCGCCACCTGGAATACCACTTCCCGTCGCCAATCTGCAAGTTGTTAGTCAAATTGTTAAAAGGATTCGATTTTTCCAAATTCTGCAATATTCTTGGACTTGAATTAGATATTCTGGGATCCAGGTTCAGACCGATCGGATCACCTGGTCCCGAGATAAGTGGAAAAGAGGCCGAAAGGGCGGCAGTTTTCGCAAAAACTCGGCAAACTAGTATATCTCGGGACCGGATAATCGGTTCGGGCCGAAACTTGGATCCAGGATACTTCAATCCAATTGCAAGAAGCCAGCAAAGTTTGGACGCGATCGAATAATTGCAAGTGGGGCAGCTTCTTCATTCAGATATCCAAACAGCTAAGATGCGTGCGAAAGGAACCACGAGATATTGATCCATGTTTCCCCAATTTTCAGCCCTAACCTCTTCTGTGCGTCGGCAGCGGACTCGCCGAACTTGGGTCCGGTCATTTCCTTTCCGTACGCGCCGACGGCCCCTCTTCCCTTCCGGAGGGCCGCCTGCACCGGCTCCACGATTCCCTGGCCCTGTGCTCCGAGTCCTTCGCCCGCTTTGTAGCCCATTTTCTGCATCATTTTCATGATTTTGTCCGAATTTCCGTGCTTCATCCATCCGCCAAACTGGCTCGGATCCACCGCTCCCGACGTGGCCGACGAGCGCATTCCTGCAAATGAAGGGGGAAAATCAAGGTAGAAAATGGAGAAAAGCGGTAATTTTGGTAAGGCTTCAAGATAATTTGGGAATTATTTTTATGAAAAAGGGGTTTTAAGGAATTTTGCAAAAATTGTAAATTTGATGAAAATTACCTGCAAAAACCTGCGCTCCCTCCTGTTTTTGCTGTTTTTTGGCTCTCCGATCGAAATTTATCTCAATCGCCGCGTCTTCCTCGTCGTTTTTCGTCTTTGACGAATATGTTCCCAAGTTTAGCGATTCCTGGAGAAAAATGCACTTTTTGCAAGATTTTCGAATGTTTTCCATTTCCCCTCAACAAACCGGATCATCCTTATCAATTTTGGTGTTCGTCTGCACTCCGCCGCTCACAAATCCCACCGGCATTGTGTACTTTCCCTTTTTACTGCAAAAAAAAATCATAAAATCTCCACAAAGAAGGGGTCGAACCTGGAGGGACCACCCCGGCTGGAACCCGGTTGATCATCGTCGTCGGAATCTCGTTCCGGCGCCCACACTCCTGAAAATAGACGGTTTTTCGGGTAAAAATGAGTGGAAAACGTGAATGAACGGGTTGAAAAGTATAGAAAGGTAATATAATCCCAATGCTCTCACCCCACCATAAATGGCCTGGTCCTTATTCTGAAAACGTCGTCGACCGCCTGGATTCATCGCGTACTCCAGGTCGACATCGTTGATGTCAAACGATTCGCGGCCATCGTCGTCGTCCATCTGAAAGTCGATTTATTTAGAAAAATGTGTAATTTCTTGGACGACTTTGAAGGTTTTTTACTTTAAAATTTGTTTATACCGATTCTTCGTGATCTATGAAAGATTTCCTTGCTATTTCTGATGACTCGCTGACAAATTGAAGATCAAACTATGAGAAAAAGAGTTGGAAAAGCGAAGAAACGCAGAGAAGACGGAAAACAAATCATTTTTTACACTATCACTCCGTGTGTTATTGGGGAGCGAGCTAACGGCATTCGGGTCATTCAGACACGTGTTTTGAGACAACTGACCACACTTTTACGAAATTTTGCATTTTCGTTTAGATTTTGGTGGGAAATTTGTTGAAAATCAAGCTTGTCGATACGAGAACGAGTTTTGAATTATTTTTTCAAAAATTGTAGGTTGAATTGTACAGATTTTTTGTGAATTTTGCGCAGAATACAACCGGATAAAAGTCTCAAATTTTAATCGTCCCCAAAAATTGACAAAAACCCACTTTTTCCGCTGGAAATCTGTCGAAAACTGACGAAGATTCGAAAATTCGAACAGAGAAGAAAACAACGACACTCCGTTTGGTCCGATTGGCGCCCGGTTTAGCGGGAATTTCGTTAACGCGCTAAATTTAAATTTCGACAGTTTTCAGCCCAATTTTTCCACATTTTCAGATGAAAACATCGATTTTTCTGGCATTTTGTCTACTTTTCATTGCGATCGACGCAGCTTCTCTGAAAAATGAGCCAAAATTGCGGGCGTTGTGGAATTTGGAGGAAGTGACCGAGTGCGAGCTGCATTATAACGCTCTTGTAATTCTCATTTCCTGTGATATTTTTAAGTGGAAATAATGTATTTCAGCACTACAACAACTACGGATGCTGGTGCGGAGTGGGCGGATCGCATGAGCCGGTGGACGGCATCGATGAGTGCTGCATGCATCATGACAAGTGCTATGACGCCGCCGTAGACAATAAGGTACGCGAATCCGTCGTGCTGTGATAAAAAACTGCGGAAATTTGCTCAGGAACGCAAAATTTGGTCCAAAAGATGTTTCTGCTGAAAATTCAGTGTTTCACCAGCTCAAATTGACCCAGAATATTCGAAATTCGCAAAAATCCGATAACTGTTGGCTCCGTTCCTTGATCAACTTCTCGACACCGTATTTTCCCACTTTTCAGGTGTGTATGAACGTGGAAATCGAATATGTGGACGATTACATGTGGAAATGCGCGGATTCGACAGCAATTTGCTCAGGTTCGCTCATTTCCGTGGCAAGACCCAAAAATGTGTTTACAAGTTGCAGACAAGAACGTCGGTTGCAAAGCGGCGCTGTGTGATTGCGATAAAAAGGTGGTGGAGTGCTGGAAGAAGTTTCCGAAGCCGGAGAAGAAGGCGAGATGCAACCGGACCGCCTGGACGCCCATCACCCAACATTTTCAGCATTAGACACATTTGAATTTTGCACTTTGAATTTTAACGCATATTCTATATGATTTTGTGAAATAAAACGTGTTCCGAAATATTTCAGAAGCAAATCTCATTGCAACAGGCAAAAATCGAAGAAATTCAAAGCGCGTTTCGCTTTTCAGAGAAACTTGCCTAAAATACAAACATTTTCAGTTGGAAAACGACAATTTGATGTTGTTTTTTTCAAAACAGGAAAAATACAGCTCCCCGACGTTTCGCAACGAATGTGAACGATCTTGCGATAAATTGCACTGGCAAAGTTCACGCGGTTTCGAAACGGCGAGTTGCGAAACGTCGGGGAGCCGGAAATATTGGAAACAACACATTTCTTGCCTCGTTTTCCGATATTTGCACGCAGCGAAACAAAAAAATACGAGGAGAATTGGTCTGAAATTGTCTATTTCGCGGTGCGCGGGTTGTAGGTCGAATGGGTCTCGCAGCGATTGGACAAAATTTTCGGAGAAATGGGATGCGCCTTTAAAGTTACAGTATGCGCGCGTTGCGGCCTTTGCGACGGCAGGCGAGGTTGGAGAAAAAAAAGAGAATCGCTCTGGTCCTCCTCCCGGAAGGAAGAACCGCAGAACGCGACGCCAAAATGATGATAATTGGTGACCGGGTCGGGACCGTTCAAGAATGTCGCAGAGATCAAACGATCTTTACGACTGTTTCGTTGGTTTTGTCATCATCTGTTCGTAGTCTGGCGTCGCGTTTTGCGGTCCTTCCTTCCGAGAGGAGGACCAGAGCGATTCTCTTTTTTTCTCCAAACTCGCCTGCCGTCGCAAAAGCCGCAACGCACGCATACTGTAGCTTTAAAGGCGCATTCCAGTTCTCCGAAAATTTTGTCCAATCGCTGCGAGACCCATTAAACCGACAACTTTCGGCCTGTTTTAGATGCTTCTCTCGTTGCTTTTTCTTGTTTTTCGCTGATTTTGCATCGAATCCCGTCGTTTCTCCTACTTTTTCTACGTTTTCTTCTCGAAATCGCTCTGTAGATACAATTTCGGCGGATTTTCCGCAAAACGCAATCCGAATGCCATTTTTCTCGCCGATTCTATGATTTTCGTTGTATTTCTCAAGATTTGAACGCAAGTTTATCAATTTCAGGGATAACATCACAAGTGTGTGCCGGAAACAACAATTTTCGACGGAAAAAGCGTGAGTTCCGATTTGTTGTGCGTGTTTGTTTATTCTTCTTGTCGATTGTAATGTGTTTCGTGAAAATGTTTGATCAAAGTCTTCAAAAGTAGTCTTGAATTAAGAAAAGTCAATTCTCCCCAAAAATTAGTCATTTTTCCTCTGAAACCATGCGCGGTTACTTTTGCTCATCGATTTTTTGAAAACTTGCTTAGCATCCGCTGTTTTTGAGTTCATTTTGTTGAACGATAAGTTTTGGCTAATGTTTTACGAAATAGTGCAGCGAAAACATTTTTTGTGCTCTGAAATTCTGGTCTGGCTCATTCTTTTTGAAAGTCCAACTCCCTGGTTCCTCACTGTGCATTTTGTAAGTGCAAAAAAGTTGAGTTGCTCTCTCTCTCTCTCTATCCTTTTCTTACCGAGCTCTCAACTAACTGACCCTGACCCTCGTGGAGCCAAAACGGAAAGAGAGACCATGAACGGAAGAGACGGAGAGGAAAGAGCAAACGGTAGGGAAGGGCGCGGTCGAACAGAGAAAGAGACGGTAGTTATTTTGAGGGAAACGAAGAGAGAACAAACAGTTTCTCTTCTTCTTTTCCATTTCTTTTCAAAGGGACGACAGACGACCGAGTTATGATGGGAATGTGGTTAGAGCTGGAGCATAGGAAGAGAAGTAGTGGGGGAAAGAGTACTGTGACGAAGCGAGATGAGAGATGGGATTGGGATGGGTTCTGGTGCTGATCAGCTCACAGGTTCTGCAATGTTCGGTGAGCTTTGAGCCTAAGCACTTTCGGAACCGATTTTGTGTATCTTTTCAGGCCAGGCTGGGAACGTTGTCGGATCCAAGGCCACTTTTTGCCGCGAGAACACTACATAGCAACAAGTTGTGTCGGATTTCTGGATCCTAGCTTCTTTAAGTCGAATCCGAGCCCGTTTCTGTCGGATTCCAGGACATTTATATCAAATTCTAGGCCAACCATCTTAAATGCCAGGATTCAGTTTATTTGCTTCAAACTCTGAGCGAAACAGATTGGATCTTTTTTTTCCAACTTCAGGTTGTCTTTGCCGGATTCTAGGCGATTTTTTAGAACATGGACGCTTTATGCCTATTTCTAGACGGGTTGTCTAATCCTGTGTCATGTTTTTTAGATTCAAGACCTTGCCTCGGCTATTTTTGTCAGGTTCTAGGCAATCGTCATTGGTTTTTCGCAATTTTTGCTCAATTCGTGTACATCTACATTAGATCCTAGGTCCCTCTTCCTCTTCCTCTTTCTCTGATTTACCCGTTCCAAATCACAGTCCGCACCACACCACACGCAGTATTTATTTTGGCGAAACAATTGCCTCCTCTCGTTTTCCCATCGATCAGCCAGCCAGCCAGCCAGCCAGCATCATCATCATCATCACACACTGTGTCCAAAGTCGCCGCCAAAATCAACACGACCGGCGCCATGATGGTTTTTTTGCGACGAGCAACTCTCCGTTCTCTGCGCTCTCTCGCTGATGCATAGCGTTTAGAGGAGTAAAAGTTGGGAGAGATTTAGACGCTGCTGAGCAGTTTTGCACAGAAACGGTCCAAACGCAGACGGACAAATCAAACCGTTTTGGCGCCAAAATTTGAGGAGTCGAGAGGTGAGAGCACGTCATGTGTCGGGATCTCGAGGTTGAGCAGCAGCAAGAGCCGCGTGCACTTTTGGTCAGATCTGTGATGCGTCGTTTGGATTGGTGCCAGCAAGACGGGGCGGTCACAAGCGATCAGAACACACAACGAAGGGTGGGCTAAAAATAGATGGGACAGGGCGGTGGCTAGGTAGCATATGGGATACTGTACCTGTTTTGGTCCTTAGAAATTAGTCTGCACTTTGAAACCTGGTCCCTTTAAGTTTTTCCTTTCAAAACTCCGTCGCTCACCTATTTTTTGCCAAAACCCTTTACGCGTATGCTCTACGTCGTCAGTAAACTGTAAAGAACCGAGACGGTCCACTGAAGCACACTACAGAGTAGCCCCATTTACACTTTTTGGTACACTTTCGCAAAAACGACCTCATTTATGAAAGAACTTTGAAGGACCAGTGGCTGACGGCGTGGTAGTACCCAGTGTTCCGATGTTCCGACGGGGGTCGGGAAGGGGAAAGGCTCAACGAACGGTCAATATTCGGAGTGTGTGTGTGTGTTTTTGTGAATTCGCCGCACAAATGTGGTCTTTGAGACTCAGAACCTAAAAATTAGTATGTGAAATATGTGTACCATCGAATAGAGCAACTGAAGAGTTGTTGTAATTTATGCCAGAAACTCATTGTCCTCGTCGTTCCGTTCCCTGCTCATTTCGAGGCAGTAATCATGGATCCATGAAGCTCGAGACAAAATGAGCAGGGGGACGAAGCTCGGAGCAATACCCAAGTGCCCACATGTAGAATTGGCAACGAGGCACCCCATCCCTCATTTAAGTCTCTAACATTTGTGCTTCAGACCTTGCAGATTCCTTCGGATCTACAGTAGTCTTTCCAGATCTGGATAAACTCAATTCTAGTCCTAAAAAGTCCAGATTTCAGTGTCCAAAAAGATTTAACTGTATCTCCTGAGTGACGAGTGACCGCCCACGCACGTCTTTTTGAACTCTACTCATCGTAATCGACTTACCTTATCACCTCAATCTTTTTTGTCACTTTTCGTCCAGAACATGATTGGGAAACCCCTTGGCCGAAGCCGGAAATGATGAGAAAAACACGTGTTATCAGGAGCTCATTGAGCACAAAAGATCAATTGGCTTCTTGTTGTTTGTTGTCTCTCAGCTGGGTCACTACTGGTTAGTTCGGAGATCTGCCTGCTCGACTCTAAAAATACAGAGATTTTGTTTTTCTGTTTATTTCCTTTACTTTCAACTCTTCTGGACCAAAGTCTAGAGCAACCACTTTTTGTTTGACTTTTGAGTACTCTGTCTCACTCTCTCTCTCCTTTTCCCTTACTGATAGGCTGACCGACAGGAAACGCCGCAAAAAGTGTTGCAAAAAAGAACAATGGGCGAGCGAGCGAGTGCAAAATGATCTTAGGCCTACGATGGTGAAGCATGTTAGGTGTGGAGGTTCGGCGTGAATTGAAGACAGAGAAACAGACTTGAAAAGCTTTGAATCTGAAATTATAGACAAAAAGTGAGTTTCATAAACTTAAAATCAAAGCTCTAAAGTACATTTTGGTCAAAGGACAGAGTCTGGAAACCGGTTAGTACTACAATAGTGGAAAGTGAGCAGCGGTCCCCCATTTCTCGTGGATCACAAAGTTGTTTGATGCGTGATGTCTAAACAAGGTCATCATCATAGTAGTCATGAATCTCGTCTTCCTGAAGTTAATCGAATTTCGGTCCCTCTCCGTCTTCTTCTCCTTGTTCTGCTTCTTCTTCCCCTTCTATGCGTGGGCGCTGTCTATCCGAAAACATGTGAACGATCGAAGGAACGAACGCATACAAACACACAAACATTTGCTCTTTTGTACACTGTTTGTGAATTAAACGAAAAAGTGATGTCATTTGAATGCGGCCTAGAACAACTGTTGGTTTTTCTAGGCCATCACGTCACTGGGACCCCAAAGACGAAGCAAAAGAAGAAGGATCTGCAGAAAAGGGTCTTACCGAACGAATATTAATCATTCTCCGCAGTGTAGAAGAAGTGATCTGTTTCTAATCAAAAAATGTTCTTCTTCTTCTTCTTCTTCTTCGTCTTTCTCTTCCCTGGTGGTCGCGTTGATTTTTGAGGCGGACAATAGTTGGAGAAGAAAGGAGACACAAGCTAACATTGACTTTGGCTGTACTTTTACTCTGTTCAGTCATGAGGAAGTGCGTTTTTGATAGAAAACTGAACATCTGGGTCCCATCTGTACTCTTGGAGATCTGGAGGGGCGAGGATTGTATGAAAGGGTGCTAGAATCCAAGTTTATAGTTTCAGAACTCATTATAGTAGTCATAATGGCCTAACTTTCGCAAAAACATTGTTTCTGGAGTCTAGCGGTCATCCTAATGAATTAGAAACGAACCAACCTTTTGTAGGAAGCAAAGTGCTCATAGTGATTGGTGACCTATCTTCAGGATTACTGTAACTTTAGCGAGTTTCAAACTTTATTACTGTACAGACATGAACATGTGTAAGAGGAGGGTTTGTACACGGATTCAGACGAAAAATAAGCGAAGCCAGAGCCAGGTAAAGCATGGAAACAGTTTGTGAACCAAGACAAATGAAATGAAATGCAAGAATGAATTGGGGGGAAAGAACCCGAAGCGCAAGGAGAGAGAGAGAGAGAGAGAGGGAACATTTTACAAGGAAGAAGAAGTAGAAGGGGGAACTTAGATGGAAGTGGTCCATCTGCGCTCGGCGCCATCGACCACGGACGCCAGAGAGATGACGGAGACGGTCCGGGTGCCAGCCTCCTCCTCGTCCTCGTCGTCGTCGGTCGCGTCGAAGCTCTCCCAGTTCTTCTCGATCGAAATGATTTTGAACATGGACGAGACCTGGTTGATCGGCTCCGTCACCGCCTTCTCCTTCTTGGCTGACAGACGGCGCGCGGAGGCGGGCTCCGAAGCAGTGCGGGCGACGATCGCGTCCTGATCCTGCTTTCGCTTCGACTGACGGACCACGCTGCGGCGGAGAGCTCCGTAGCCGTTCTGCTGCTGCTTCGTCTCCTTGTTGTGGTTCTCGTCGACTTCTTCGGAGCTGCCACGGTTACGGCTCGGCCACACAAACCATTTTGGGCCATTTTGGACTTCGATCACCTGCAATTAATCGGGTTTGAGTTACTTTCCAGACTTTTCTAGTCCTATATGGCTTTCTAGGCCATCATATAAATCTCTTATAAATCTCAGGCCATCCTATGAAGGTCCTATGAATTCTAGGCCATCTTACGTAGCAATACTAGATCCTAGTCCACCCTGATCACTTAACCAACCTTAAATCTGAAGTCTCTCTTCGGGCGGACCGCCTTCACTTCCACATTATTGTTGTTATTGTTGGCCTCGAATTGATGGCAAGCTGATGATGAAGAGGCAACCTCGAGCATTGTGAGGGTAGTACACTGAAAAAATGTTGAACTATAATAATATATTGGAAAAGGAAAGGCAAAAGCAAAAAGGAATAAACTGGTAGAGGGACGCCTCTCTATATATACCGAGAACACACACACACACAAGAAGAAGAAGAAGGAGTGGGCACACTGCTCCCTCTCTCTCTCTTTCCCTCTCTCGTGGCGCCACAGGGGAGGAGCCAAAGCGGAGAGATGGCGAGACGGAGCAGAGGTTTAGACAGAGTAAGGGATCGGAGAGAAAGGGGCGGAGCCTAGGGAGACTGGCGCCGGGACGCCGATGTGTCGTCGCATGTGACCTCCGGTTTGTTTGTCGCTGATATCACAGGTGGGAAAATGAGAAAGGGGGGGAGGAGAGAAGAAGAAGACGAAGTTTGAAATAACGTGGTGTTCACATGGTATTATGACCGGTTTTCGTGATAGGAATAGTCGTGTCTACAGAAAACGACCACGTTGAGATTTGAACTTGATGACCAGAGAATACATAGTAACCGCACAATACAAGCGGTTGCAAAATATTGTGGGGTGACAATATCGCATGCACACAAAAAAGCGGACTGATAATAATACTACGTCACTGTCGGTCGGCTCGTCTATGCTCCTTATCGGCCACCTTAATTGCAATTGGCAGAGCGGTCTGGCGGCAAACCGAAACACATTGATCATTTTTTCGAAAAGAGCGAAAGGATTACTGTACTTTTCGGTGCCTCAGTGGTCTAACTTTTGCAAAACCTTGGATACTGCGCATAGGAATCTGCATCTCATCATGATACCTTAGGACGCACTAAACTTTGAATTAAAAGTCTGGAAGTTATAGTAGTCGGTGGCCTAACTTTTGCAAAACTTTAGATATCTAGGTTTTCGTGATCAGAATCTCATCCTAATGCATTACGAAGCTCTTTTTTACACTTTTCCGAAAAGACCAAGAGCACACTGGTCATCACTGTACTTTGTCTCACTTTTTTTCGTTTGTCTCGAACAGAAAGAGACTTTAAAGAATTTTTCAATTTTCTCCTCTCAAAGTGCTTCTCCACGGCTTTTCACGTGAATTACGGCCGGGAAAATTGAATGGAAAGGAAAGGATTTTCTGCAGAAGAAAAAGGAGGGAAAATTGCGTGCGCACATGAGAAAAAAAATGGGAAAAGCGGGGGTGCCGATGTGAATACGAAAATGGATGGGAAAGGAAGGAAATGGATTAATGGGAGAGTTCCTAATTAAATGCGAATGGATCATATTCTTAGGTTTCGCGGGCGGGTAAACAGACGGATCCGATGACGTCGAATGAGTCAGAAAGTCAGACGTTTCGAGTTCCTCTGGCATTAGGATGCGCTTTTGAACACGAAAAACAATATGTCCAGTTCAAATATGTGGAATCTGATGTTCCCAAGGTTTTGCAAAAGTTCGGCCACGGACCACAACTAAACAGGAACTCGACTTCTACACCTTTATCAAAGAGACGGGAAAAACGAATAGATTAACGAGATTTTTGCATATATTTTTTCGTCTATAATATCACACAAATCTGATAATACAGCTGCGGGAGGGGGCTTAAACAAAGCGAAGAACTAGATAATATTGAAAAAAAAGTCGACTTGAACATTTGGTTTTTAGTAAATTGTTCGTCCATCAAAACATTGTTCTACTCCAAAGCGCGACAGTTCATGTGAAGTCTCAATCAGAATAGGAAGAGATGAGAAATCAAACGTCTTCTTCTTCTTCTTCTTCTTCACCTTTTCTCACTGTCAACGAGAGAGAGAGAGAGAAAGAGCGCCGAAAACGTAGAGAGTGCGGAGAAAAGGTGGCAGACAGGCTTTGGATGCACTCATTTGGGGGGACAGCGATAATACACAGTTGCAAATTCTTGCGGAAAGCAGCGCAGGAAAGTCGGCTTTCTTTGCCATGTAGGATGAGTTGTAGACCTCGAAAAACTGTTTTCCTAGCCACAAAAAGTGGAATCTGAGGTTTTGCGAAAGTTAGGCCACGGTCCAAGGCACTAGAATAACGTAAACAGCCCCCAGAAACGCAGCAGTAACCGAGATTGACGTTGAAGTTTGCGTTCGAACTAAGCGGAATTGAGAATACTAAAAAGACGGAAAAGCCTATGAAATTTTGGAAAATGGGTTGGGGGGACTGAATTGCGTCAACGCACAGTTACGTTTTCTAAACTTTTCACTCCAATTTCCTGCATTCCCTTCTCATTTCCTCTCTTCGAAATGGGCAATGAGCTAGAGTGAAAGTCATTTCCTCCTCTAAAGTGCGTGCAAATGAGAATTCCTCCTCCGCGACGAGTTTTAGATGAAAAGTGACGTGTTTGGAAGTCGAAAATCTCAGAATAGATGTTCTATTAATAGGAAAAGATGGAGAAGATCATGAGGAAAAGGGATAGGATAGGAGGTATCTTTAAAGATATTATAAAGTTCACAGAACCGCTACAAGAAAAACGAGAGGACCTGTGGGTGGCGAAACGAATCAATATGAATGGGGGACTATAATTGATGATATATGCAACCGCGCGTTCTCTTGTTTTGCGGAAAGAACGCGGAACACCAGCCGTCAGCCGAATAAAAGGAAAGAGTGAGGAAATGAAAGAGACGGAGAAGGAGAGAGAGAGAGAGAGAGAGAGAGAGAGAGAGAGAGAGTGCGTAGGCGTGGGGTGGTAGACAAAAGGAGAGACCACCTGGCAATACACTTTTAAAGAGCAGTGAATGAGAGGATGAGGATGGAGTAAGTGGTAAACAAAATTTGGGTGGGCTGGGGTGGATAATGAGGTTTCTGATGAAGTGCATCATCTATGGGCTTCTAGCGAATTGAGAGTGACGTGGCACCGGGTTCGACTACCTGATGACGTGGCAACAGGTACGGTGACCCCATTAACTTGTCTAGACAAACTTTTATTCTCTTTTTCAAACTGTCCACCATTACAACAGCACTAAAAAAGACCAAGTTTCATAGGCAATCATGGTCTTCATAGTGACGTGGCTACGAGTACAGTAACCCTGGGTACATAGTGGGGAACGTACCGGGGACATTACATACCGGGTAAACACCTCGTCTGGGCGTATGAATACCGAAAGTGCCCTTTTTTAGCTGGTGGCGGTAAACATGATGTTAAAGGAGTGGCGACCGGGTTACGATACTCTCTGACATCATTTAGACTTTGGGCAAGTTGCTAGGCACCCCAGGACTACTGTACTTTGTGCCACTTCATCAAGGCTTTGTGAAAGTTGGCAAATAGCTCGCTATGTACTGTACTTCTTGCCACGTCACACGGATCTCTGTCACAACGGGCAAGCACTAAAAGGAGTCCTCAGGAATACAATGTTTTTCGATGTTCCCACCAAAACATTGACGCAAATTTTTGATCATTTTCATTTCCGTTTCCGATTTGCATAAATAATTGACGCTCACACAAAATGTGATAATCGTCTCGGGACGTGATCGTGATTTGAATAATCATAAATCCCCCCCTATCTAGGACCGGTTTTTGGAAAATATCGAACATGTAGGAATGAAGTGGCTAGGGGGTCAACTCGATGAAAACCTTTTTGACGTGGCAGAGAGCATCACGTTGCATAAGCCAAGAGGAGATTAGCGACGTAGACACACGAACAACTATTATCTTCTTCGTTTTTCTATAAAATTTACGTCACACACACACACGTGTTCCCAGTCATTTTCAGCTGCAAATCTGGCTGGAAAGAGCAGAAAAGGGACTGGAGAAACCGGACAGACAGATATTGAATTACACATGGCAAACGGACAGAAAAGTGCTGGTGGGGGTGGGGGTTTGTTGACCTTTTAAGGGGGGAACTAGTCATGAGCATGACGTGGCAAAGGGGGGATCATGGGGGGTCATAGTGGTTGGTGGCCAAGCGTTCGCAAAACCTTGATCCTAACGCCTAAGGAACAAATCAATTCGTATTCCGCTGATGGCCTAACTTTCGCGAAACCTCTGCCACGCCACATCACCCAGATCATCTCCAAATCAGAACCCACGGATTATCTGGACGTCTGATGACACACTCACACGAAATAGTACGTCGTCACCGCCACAATTTCGAAAATCATAGTGGTCTCTGGACAAAACATCAAAGATTTTAAGAGAGATGGGGGTTCAAGCGAAAGAATTTCAGAAATTTCTTCATCGGACCTTATCAAATTCAACAAAACCGTCGCGGTCTAAACTTTGTTACACTCGACAAGAAGAGAAAAGAATTTCGACAGATTCTATCTCATTTCTCTCTCTCTCCCTCTCCATTTCTCCCTCATTTTTCACACATTTCACACCGAGTAATCCACGTGAACAACCAGAAATGTCGCCAGTCTGGTCACTCTCCGAATACCGCAATATCTATTTGGATTTTCCGGGTGCACCGTGTACCCGTCGTCCTCTGGCGTCCCTGTCTACGCAGCCGAGACACCGTCCGAAAATCAGAGGGACGAAAGTTTTTGCAAACGAAACATCGTCGGGTACACGCTCGGGGGGAATCCGTATTTTGGTCAATGAAAGATGTTAGGGGACTTACTGGGTGCAGGGAAGTTTGGCCAAAACTTGAAAATTTGTAGTGGGACCCCTTTTCTCCCCTTTTCCGAATTTTCTTCACGAAACAGTAGTGGTCACGCCAAATTGAGGAGAACTTCAGCGACGTGACGTGGCTAACTTTGAGACGAATGCAGAATCGTAGTCAGAATCCAGTTCCTAACTACAAATTGGTAGAATTCCGTTTGTTTTGGTGCGAACAAAAGGTCACGTATGGGCGTCGTTCGATGTATTTTTGGCCAGAGAACTTGGCTATTTTTGGACTAAATCGGACCTAGAAATCCTAGAAAATTTGGGGGTTTGGACTGTCCAATTTAGTTAGAACTAGGCGAAATTAGACCGATTCGGTCCGATTTAGGCCATGCAGACGAACAAATATTGCAACAAAAAAAAGTTTGACCTTTGTTCTTACCTCAAGACACACAAACCGTAGTACACA